GGGGGGGGGGGGGGGGGGGGGGGCACAAGTCGAATTAAATATCGCGTGTAACACGGCGATAAATGGCGGAGGGAGCGGGAGGGGGAGAGAAAGAGGGCTGGGTACATGGCCCAAAGTGAATTAAACTTCTTCTTTTATCGGTGAATTATTTTTGCAAAATTTCTGAGGCCAACTCTGGTGCTTATCAAGTTTTTGCCGGGTCTCTGGAGAATCTTTTGAATGGCTGAAGTGTGAGGTTTCATGATGTTGGATTTGAATATTTGCCCAATTATGAGAGATTTTCTCATTTTTTTTCTTTCTTCTTTTTTCTTATTTCTTTCATTGACATAAATGTGAACAAATATATGGAGACATGTTTTGCAGAAATTTTTCTCACAATCAGCTACAAAAAATCCTTTGAGTTTTTCACCTAAAATGCCGAATTAATAAAAAATACAATTTTGCGGGGAATGTTGAAGTGTGAGGTTTCATAATGTTGAATTTGAATATTTGGGGAATTGAGAGGTTCTCATTTTTCGTTCATTTCATGAGGAAATTTTTCAGTCTTCCTCGAATTAAATGTAAAAATGTGCAAATGTAAAAGTTCAATTATATCAGAAAAATACGAAATATAATGGGAAATACCATATTCAAAATAAAAAGTACATTGTTTTTTTGTTTCGACTGACAGACTGGACTCTGGTCTGTCACAATTTTTCCTCAACTCTTCCGTCACCGGGTGGGCGTGTTACCGAGTGTGTTTGCCATCGTTTGCTGTTCGCCCACGCGAATCGATTCCCAATGGAACGGACAATGTTAAAACCTTCCGGCGTATATAAGCAGTCCTGCGACTCCTTCTATCGACGTTGTCCGATTAACGGTTGGACGTGTATATACACTCTCAGAGCACCGCACGTGGCCAATTTTACGATATTAAAAAACTCATATCCCCATTTTTACGACCCCCTCCGAGGAAAAAAAAATTTTTTTTTTCCTAATTAAAAAACACTTTCGCATCAAAAAGAGAAAAAAAAAGTAGGAGAAAATCAATCAACAAGACCAATAAAGTTGATTTTCCACGTGAAAGAAATTACGATAATGCAATTACCTCTGCCTCCATTACGCTCCTCATGACTGAATCATCAAAATTGTATAATGGAAAATTATCCCATGGATTTCATCATTCCCATGCGATCAATCCATCAACTAAGAAAAATTATTATTTTTTTCCAATAAAAAATCGAGAGAACGATCTAATCAGTGGCAAGCCCATTATCCAAACGCAATGATTACATAATTAACTAGTGAAAATCCCCGCGCAATTACCAAAGTAGCTAATTTGGACGAGGGAGTTTGTAAGAACGCTCGGAATTACACAATGCAATACGTTTTCACGTACACGTTGCACAACATTTCATACGAATGTATGTGCCTAGGCTCGATGTACACCGTTGTAAATGCACTGCGCGGATGGATTCTCCCCACAGTCCAATTGGACCGATACAGATCGATCAATAAATATTTATGAGCAATTGTAAGTCTAATAAGAATCTAGGAAAGTTTGTACCGATGTACTTCTCCAACTAGAGATGAACATCAGTGGAATATTATCGTCGTGCCGATCGACCGGTACGGGGGAATGAATCACTCAATGAGGAAATATTTGTGTTTTTAAATTCTTTCGTGACGCAAGGGTAAACAAGTGATAACAACCGACAACGGCATTGGAAGGCCGGAATAATTCCTGTTTCCGTTTGCAGGAGTTTAAAGTATTACGGCTTATTTAATTAATTCTCGGAAAATTTGACACAATTGAAAAATCCTATACTGTTGAAAGAAACAAATTCCCATTTCAGGGAAATTTGAGACTTTTACACCCTCCTCAACACCCACCAAATGATGCCCCCACGTCACGTTCATCGCTTATCACCTCAATAACAAGAAACCAACATACTTATCTCCTTATCCCACCTAATCGGAAATATATTTTATCATCTGACATGATTTCCAACTAATTGCATTCAATCCACCTCGTTTTCTTCATGCTCACTCTATCAAATAATAAAACCCAGATAAACCCGTTTGCGGGTTAAAAATCCATACGCAGAGAGAGAGAGAGAGAGAGAGGGGTATGAATAAAATGGTAAATGTAATCGGTGATATTTCACGTTTTTACCCTCAAGTCATACAAAGGGAGTTCCTTTATTATCGAGGAAGTAAAAACTCGAGAGGTTCGCCTATCGTACATCGCTGAACTAAACCCCTGGCGTCACGCTTCTTAGGGACGTTGGAAATTCTCTCTCCGTCTCTTTCTTTATGCCTCATACAATTCTATTTTTTATTCAAGCGTGAATACAAAATAGAATTGTATAATTCGAAATGGAAATTCAAGTTCAGACCGTACAAGTTTGAGTAATAAAATGACTGCAAATGAAAACTATGATGTTTAAAAAACACAACTTGGATTTACTCAATATTAAATTTATTTAATCGTGACGCTGGCAGCTATGTCGAAGGGTATACATTGTGCACTGGCTTATTATGCAACATTGTAAAATACTTGGGAACTTGTTGCTACTATGTGGTGAATCGCTGTGAGTAGTCGTAATAGCAGCAAAGCGGGATGCCACAGGGAGACGGGAATAGAGCCACACGGGCCACGCGTATCCATACCAGCTTGAGGTGGAGGAGAGGAAATGCTCCGCTATCTGCTGTACGGTAACGAGGGCGTTCACGAGTCCACTCTCCGCGGGATGTCCCTACACTCTGCATTTTATGGATTTTCGCAAAATTATTCCATACTCTTTTCGCTTCGGTTATTTTAGGGTTATCATAGTAGATAGATTGATTAATTAAACATCATGGGTGTAAATTTTTATTGCGGAAGAGAGATTTTAATTTAATCAACAGGATAGTTGGTGCTGTTTATTTTATTATTTCTACTTCTGGGCATTTTATTTCTTATTTCCTCGGACTCGTGGTAGTTATCAATTTCCATGTTATGATGTTGAATAAATGAGGCCGAGAGTTTGGATAGTGGAAAGTGATCGGGTTGGTAAAATTTAATATCAAAATGATGAAATGAAACTAGTGAATTTGATTCCAGACTTTTCTCTTTTCTCGTAGTTTCAGTAATGGGGTAAAAAAAAAATTGCACTCCACAGTGCAAAGCCACAGACTGGAGGTTTTCGCGGCGAGAAAATGCGGTGCTTCAAGACTCGTTACCCACGCGTTCTATAAATAGAACATTATTGCCAAGTTTCTTTGGTGTTTTCTTGCCTACGGGAACAAGGTGCTCAGGTAATAATCAAAAGCCGCATATTGTCCGCTTACGCGTGCAATTACATATTTGTACGCCTACCACAGTGTCCCATATATAATCCCAAACACGAAACGAAAGAATGAGAAAATTATTCCGCTCTATTTATGCGCATAGCTAGTGATTTGAGGGGAAAATGTTGAAAATAAATGACACAAATGCCAAATGCATTGTCTTCTTATTGATGAAAAATAATAATTCATTGAAATTACACCAGTTTTGGTTGTTTATGAGAATTTTCTTTACATATCATATAAAATCATATCATTTCCACGCAAAAACACACATTGAATGTATATGTGTACAGTTATTGAATTACACCTCAACCGCATGACCCAGTGCTCTCACTCATCGCTCAATTTTATTCTCCCCCTTTCCCACTTATATTCCTCCTCTGTCTTTTATTCCTCCAATGATGGCCCTAATTACTACTCGGTCAGGAGGACACTGCCAACCAGTTCACCATCGTTCCAATCATAATGTAAATTGTTTCCTCTCGTCATCGACCCAAAAATTCATTTTAAAAAGCTTTAATTTTTTAATCGCATCTCTAGATATTCTCCAGGGAAAGAGGGCCAATTATAAATAACGAGATGTTTTGGTGGGCTGTGAGAGGTCACCAGGTCAGCAGAATAAGTGTGTGCTTTATCAATTCTTCTTCCACTTCATGACGTTGAAAAAAAAAAAACATCACTCCAATCACTCTAACAAAATTGAAAAGATTCATTTGTATCGAATACTGTCAAGTCATTTGATGTTTTTTTTTCGTTTGTAAATTTTTGCATTTCCCCAAATTGTCGCTGACCATGATGAACTTCATCCAAATACTTTCTCATGCCTCCCCCCTCAGAGTTTAATGTATTCCCATGAGCGCAGGCCGTGATTGCGATGTTGGCAAGCGCAGATGCACTAATCGATTTACGTATAATGGAATTAGAATACAAGACCACCAGGGGTTCTTGGGAGAGCTCCACGGGGCGTGGAGGATCACGAGAGGGAATCGAAATGGAGGGAACTATATCGATTTGCTTCCACTCGGTGTGCTCTAATGTCTGCACGTAGCGATTCCATTATCTACTGAAATATATCAAAGATGGATGCGGATTCTAGAAACAATTTTTCTCGTCAATGTCTTTCATAAAATAATAAGAGGAAATCAATTTCGATTCGTTCTCTCAATTTCAATTATTTTAGTGATTCTTTAATGGGAAAAGTTGAATTTTTGAGGAGAAAATGGAAGGAATAATTGAAGTATTCAATAAAATTCGATGAACCAAAGCAAATTACAGCACCAAAGACGTATACAATTCCAGGGCATGAATTCAAAACGTAAACAATGGCGTGTATATATGTATATATAAAGTATGGACCGTTACAGACACGAGAACCAATAAATAAAGTGGGAGTCGGCCCCCATGTATAGCCAGGAAGTCCCAGCAACACAGTATACTATATACCTCAACCCTGGGATTTTACTCTCTAACAATTTGTACGTACGTGTGTACAGACTGGTGTTTGAAATTGCCGCGCATTTACGAGCCGACTTTGTACTCGAAAATTTATTCATTTACGATATATCCCTCGCTTCCATTCGTCAGCTTGATATATATATATATAAAAGAAAGAAAAATACAAAACCGATAGTCAACAAAATTGATGAAAAAATGAGAAAAAAAAAATCTAAAAGTTGTCCGTATGGGCTCCCCTACAATGTCTGCGTACAATGAGACCCAATACCTCAAATTTCCTCGCACTGTTGACGTTTTCCCCCTCACGATTGCAAAATCAAATAAAACTGTAAAATCACTTTAATTGACAGCCTCCTCTTCGGGCTTAATGCTGTGCTCCCCCTCACTGAATATCATCAGTCTACTTGCATTTGGCATGTATAGTATAATAGTTCCCCTCTGCATCGGTGAGTTTAACCGAGTGTGGGCATAATGAGCGCGACGGCGACTCTTCCAGGGATTATCCTTCAAGGATGGACGATGCATAGAGACACCTAAACGAGATGAGCCACCACCATTCTCGGCATATTAGAACGGGACTCGTCATTAGCATTCACATTGGTTCAAAGGTAGATACGGTGGAGAGGGCTCGTTTGCCAGACCTTTAACCACCTGCCACCATAAATTTCCATCAAAATATTTATTCTTGAAATCAGTTGTTTACTTTCATTGTGAAATAATCTTTTGGCAAAATGTCATTTTCATTTCTCCCCCAAATTTAATTCAGGTGTAAAAGAATTTGTCCTTTTTTCCAAAATCAAAATCACTCACAATTAATAAATATGTTAATTATGTATTCAGTTGAAAAAATGGAATTGTTTGAATTGAAATTCTTTACAAGGTTTAAAAGTCTTCTTTTTTACTTCATTCGCATCGTTGGAATTGTAACCAGGAGAGAAATAACCCAAGGTTACAAAAAAGAATCTCTTGAAATTAATAATATACCTGTCTTACACGGGTGATGCGCAAATCGTGAATGTATTCGTGCCCCCAGTGAATTCGGTAGCCCGCGCGAAATTTCCTCCGTATTGCCGGGTTGTTTTTAGCAAACTGGTTTTCGGCCACCGCACCTCCACCCTCTTGCCAGTCACGGCGTCGCCGAGACGCCTCTGTCTTCTTCCGCTTGTACTTTTCAACTTTTTTACTCCTCGTTTTTCAGTTCGTTTCATCTCTCGTGTTTTTCTTATTTTTCTGTCTCTCTCTCTCTCTCTCTCTCTCTCTGTTACCTCTTTTTCTCTCGTTTTCAGTTCTTTGGCGTCTCGTCGCGCTCCAAATGTTTGCACCTGTCTTCCCCAACATTCAGCCACCCGAATATCGATGGGGACGTAACGTGTATAATAAAGCCACTTGAAGTGCCACAGGCGATAGCAACAGAAATATAATAAATCGACGGGAGGAAAAAATGAAGGAGAAAAATTGCAAGAGTATTTTTAGAAAGTTAAATTTATTTTTCATCAATAAAGAATTTAAAATTAAATATTAAAACAATTTTCCTGCAAGTAAATGCAATTTTTTATGCTACTAAGAAAATTATTTTTGCATTTTTTTCTTCAAATTTTTCTCAAAATCAATTATCAAAAAGAAAAAAAAAGTATTCTGAAAAAAAAATTGATGCCTTCCAACGCTTTTTCTAATTGTTTTTCATTTTCAAGTTAATTCAGTGTAGCTTCAACTACCATATTCGGTACCGCCCCGTCCACCTTGGAACGACATAAAGAGCCTGAATACTCAGTTGAATTGATTGACAGGTTGAAACGGCAGTTTCAAGTTGTGACACGCCCTCTGTGCGCATCATAAGCCATGGGGGAGGTTTTGACGCTGTGACTACTGGCATTATTCCCCCTATGCTTTGTAATTTTCATTCAGAGGTTTGCGAAAAGAAATATTTAACGATTCTGAAACACGTGAGACAACCATATGAAAACCAGAATTACATGAAAAATAGCTCGCAATTTTTCTAATGAAAATCTTTGCAACATCTCCTCCTCCTTCTCCTCGACTTTTAAAAATATAACTTGATCTTCCTCATCTCAATCGCTGAATTACCGACGCCTATAAGACAACATTTTTCATCTTCAATCATTGTCGGTTGCGCGGGTGAATGCGTGAGGGAGAGAAAAAAGTCATCTTTACAACCGACGAGGCGGCAATAAAAAGGTGTTGATGGCACGTATGCAGGTCTCGGTGGGGTGGGAGGGAGGGAGGGATAGAATGGGAAAAGATGTACAGCTCTTATCCACCTTCACGTGGCAGGTCCTTTTTTTTCCCCACTGACTCAACCCATTCTCGGTATAATGCATCTGTTCGACTGTGTATAACTGCCGCGCGAGAGAAGGAAAACGATGGAGGTAAATGTTCGGATGCAGTTTTGCCGCTATCGTCAAGAGTCACCCAACGACCGAGATAGCGGGGGAAGCGCGTGCTTCTTGTCCACCTTTATTTATCGGTGTTTCTTTACTGTTGAATGTTCATTTATAATTTGAGACAGAGGGGGTTTGTTTTGTGCAACAGTGTGGAGGGGAAAATTTCCATTCAATTGAATTTCATTGTCTCGTAATTTATGGTAAACTTTTTGAAAATTTTCATCATACAATTGCTTATTTTAGGAAAAAATCAATGAAAAATTTAAATTCAACTCAATATCTCTATAGATTTTTCATTTCTTTTGTTGTTAAATAATGATTAATTACCAGTCAATACCCAATCACACGTCTTGATAATTCATTATGACGTACAAAGGCAGGTGCACAAAATGAATAATAAAAAAAAAGGAAAAAAAGATACAGAATTGGCGTGAGGACGTTAAAATGATGACTGGATAACAAGAAACAGCGTGTACCTATAGATAGAGTATACGTTACGATACTGCCTGTCTGCTCATTATTTCGACTCGCGCCATGTCTATGACGAATACTCGACCCTTGGCAATGCAACGTAACTCATATATGCCCACTCACCTTTTTGCCAAACAAAAACATACCATATTTCGAGTTTTCGAGTTGGTTGGACTTGATAAAAACGGTGTGAGTAGAGATAGAGAAGAAGTGAGAGAAACTTGGAGTTTGTGAGGCAAATAAAATTGACAATGTGAATAATAAATTGGAGGGACTCACCTCGCACCTGGAGGTATCCAGTATCTCCACCTCTGTTGTGACATTGTCAATGGTAACACTGTGACGATAAAGAAAATCTACAACATAAAGAGAAAATTATTGAGTATATTGACATTTTTATTAATTTCGAATCAACTATACTATCATCATGACCTTGCAGTGAAAGACGAAAATTCACCGTGAAACATGGAGATTGGATACGCTAGAGTTAACACTGTCGATAGTGATATCGTGTGAAAGCACATATGAGAAACTCGAGTTTATATTAGTACGACAATTCCTCAATATTATTTTTAACATAATCAAAATGAGGTATGAAAACGTTGCGGAGTATATTGCCGACATATGTGAGTATACCCACACCGCTCTATCATTATCCGACAATGACCGACGGACTTTCTTTCTCCTGCACCCAATGAGTGGAGATTTATCCGTCGACAATTTGCCATGTATAATAGTAAAACATCAGGAAAATCCAATTTTATCATTTTACGAATGAAAAATAATTCGTCATCATATTTTTTTCATTTTAGTATTTTAATATTGTTGATTGGAAATTTATCCGTCGTCCATTTACCATATTATAGTAAAACCTCAGGAAAAGGCAATCCGGATTATTTTTTTAAATCAATATCGATCAAAAAGAAATACTATGACAAAAGGATGAGTTCTTTGACGTCTTTTATATTTTTAAAAAATTATCCTCAACTGTATCTGAGGCTTTAGACCGCTGTTTTCATACCTCTCCATTCATCATATTTTTTCATTTTAATGTTGCAACGCCCGGACCAAACATAAAAGTTTGGCTGTTTTCTGGGTCAAAGTTCACTCGCCAGTTGAAGATTCATTCTCGCCTGTTCCCTCAGCTACAGTTAAAGTGCTGCAATAAATTTCCCTTATGTCTGTGGTGGCTCTGAGGATACATATACAAAACTCATACCCCCCTCCTTCTATTTTAAAACATCTCGAAACGAGTCTGCTTGACCAATAAAACTTTGCCAACCGTAACGCACTAATAACTACGTGTTTGCCTTATTTGTTTCATTCCTCCAAAGCTCCGGTTTACTCTCCATGGAGGTAAGGTTCGATTATACGATCCTAATAGCGGTGTTTACGGTCTCATTTATCGCACGGCGACGGCAACTACCTACTGGGCAACGCGTTTGCATACTTCCGTGAAGTCTCAATTGAAAATATTTTGCCGGTTTTTTTTTTCTTTTTATTATTTCATTTCCTCATTCTTTCCGATCTTTTAATGTTCATTCATAATTTCAATCTTAAAAAATTGATTTTTCTTGCCAATTTAATTGGCATTTATTTTCATCTACATTTATCAATTGAAAAATTAAATTATTAATTATAAATTTGTTGTTGACTATTTCACCAATTGGAACAGTAAATTGCCTGTAAATATTTATCTATTTCCATGTAATTGTTGGAGAATTGAGGCAATTACAAAATTTCCTTTCTTCGATTAACAATCAAATTATTTCGAAATGAAAATCTGATAATTCCCAACGTGCTTTCTAATAATGATACAACGAAAGAAAATTTGCATTGTTAATCGGAATAGAGAAATAATCATGGTACATTATGGTTGCCCATGTTCCGAGCATGTAAACACGGAGATGAAAACGAGTTGATTCAAGTCAGACGCCGTGAGGCATTGGTAATCACTCTCCCGGGGTTGAATCATCGTGATGTTACTTCTGAAAGTCAAACGATTTGTTATTTTTTCTTTTTTTTTCTTTTTTTTTTGTTCAATCCATTCATTTCTTTTTTCTTCCAATCGCTAAATTGAACAGTTTACTTTCACGACCTACGTCGCGCTCACGAGCGGTTTATCGACGCAAATCGATTTCGGATGTCTTCTTGCTATTTTCTTTAAAATTAAATTCATTCAACTTGTCCGTTAAAAAATTTATTTCTTCTCATCCATTCAAGGCATTGACATTTACATTTTTGAAAGAGTTTTCAGGCTGTAGAGTTATTAAAAAATTAAAAAGCAATGAATCAATATTCAGGAAGTAATTTTCACGTCAAAATTCCCATGAACTTAATCGTCTTCAAGTATCAAAGACAATCTCAATCACTCTCAACTAATAGCATTTCACTGGATTACACCCCTCAATTTACCTGTCAAACTTCACCAATAATTCTCCTTCATCCCAAACATTTATGTAATTGTAACGACACACCATAAAGTCTCGCTTTCGAGTGTATTTTTCGAAGGCACCTCTCAGAGTACCTCACACTCTCAGCGCGTAATAATCGGCTTCTAGCTTTCACCGTTTGAGGGCCCTCCCTTCTCATATTGTGTGCACAGAGCAATAAAAAGCCGGAGAAAACTTGTATAAAAATCATAAACTCTCTTAGAGAACATAAAAAATCCATCAATAATCCCTAAAACTCTTCAAACAATTCCTCCGAAAAAAATCATCATTATGAATTTTTTGTGACAAACGGTACAATTAATCTGCAAAGGGTAATTTTACATTTTTGTTCTGGATTGAAGAAAAAAAAAAAAGGAAACACTTAATGCGGCTATTCTGCATTACACGCATGTTCGCGTGACGTGATTGTGAGCCTTTGGTGCGACCACTTGCGTGATTCCCTTTCATTTCGAGCTCGAGTCTCACGCGTTTAGCCAATAGGGGGGGAGGAAAGTCCCAAAATTACTCGACCACTTAGCATTTGTTATTTTTGGGGATGATTGGATATTATACGTGAGTATGTGACAGGTACAGGCGCTTAATGGAGTTTATAACGGCCACCTGGAGACTCTATCTTACTCGCTATAATAATAAAGGAATAAGAAGGTTAAAAATTGGCAAAAATTTCTGGGTATAAGAATCAAGAAGCTAATATCCATTATAAGAGTCAAGCTACTGACGTCTAATTAAGGTTACATGAGGGTAAAAAATTTGAATATTGGAAATTAAATGAAAAATTGAATTGAAAAAGATTAAGCAAATTCAATTGTATGAAACTGTTCAAGGCCTAATTAATGGCCATAAGAGGTATGGAGGAATTATCCACACGATTGATTCATTAATCGAGTGACAATGCTGTTAAAAATGTCTTTAGAGCAATATGTATTGTCCCACCTTTCAACTCGTCTCTATAGATCCACGGGCTTGTAGCAATTATTACAAGCGAGGTAGCCGGGGCATGAGTTATGAGAGAGATCTGCATTCTGCGGACCACGAGAAAATAGTGGGGACAACAGGGAGAAAGATAAAAGTAAGAAAGAAAGGAGTAGATGGGGCCCACCTCCAGGCTCTATTTCATATCGAGCCTTTAAATCTCCGCCCTGTGTGAGAGAGGCTCCTCTTGCTCCCAGACGAATGCTGATATATTCTTGGCACTAGGGGAACCTCGTCCACTACTTCCGCTCCTTCAACCTGTCGATTTTGCGATATCGGCTTTTTTTTTTATTTCACACAATGGGATTTTTATTTCTTATTTTTTAAAACATCATTCAATGATTGAATTGATGCAATCGAAGGGGACTGGAATGAAATAATTTGTCATCTTTTCAGAACAATTTTTTTCATCATTGAAATGATTAAATTGCAAGAAAAATGGCGAGGAAATTCATTAAATCCATTTAAATATCACAAGTCAGTTTTTCCCCCTTGCTTTTATATTCTCGATATGGTTAACACGATAAACTGGAACTCCTGGAAGGCTGAAAGGGAACTAGATAAAACCTTTCGTGTAAGGTAAACCCCCGGAGTACGTGAATCTTCTGAGAATTTCATTCTCCCTTTTTACAAACACACAACGAGAGGCTGAATTTATAAAAAGAAAAAAGTAGAAAATACCTCGTGCAATTTTTGGATTAACTGAAATAATTCTGGGGACTTTACGATGCATCTAATCGTTAAATCATTGAGAATAAATAATAATAAAGTTGGAGGGCGAGGAGGGGAAAGGGAGCGAGAGGATGAAAGAGACACGCTTGGCAATAAAGCAATCAACGGATCTCGTGTATACCCACGGGGGAAAAAACTAGACCGGCAACTTGCGCTGGCGAGTGTCAGGGGCAAGCAGCCTGTTTTTTAATTTTATTATCGTATTCCAACGAGTTGAGCCCTTCATGGGAGGGGGAGCTTGTCGCCCTTATTCGGGGAGATTTTTTTTTTTTTTTTTTTTTCATAAAGATGCAATATTTCGTCCGGAGTGAATTTACTGCGCGACTATTATCGCCCATGCTCAGAGAGAAAAAAATTGAAAAAATTGGAAGAGTTACTTACCACTAGTCGAACTGTATTCGCCGATGTATCGTCTTGTTAAGTATCGAACTACAACAGCTGGAAATGAAAAATAAAAATGCGAAATTAATTATTGTCATTTATAAATTTTTTCAAAAATTATTTTCTTGATTTTTATCGAGGAAAGGAAAGTAATTTTTAAAAAAATGTGAAATACAATTTTTCACATTGTTTAAAAATAATTTTGTATGGGCGATATGCTTTTATGTATACGATAAATACTGGATTATAATCACGAGATTCTTTCTTATCCGTCATGCATAAACCGAGTGACACAAATACATGAAGAATACATATAGCACAAGGGGAGTAATTAGTTGATCCCTCTCTCCGCCCATGTCGCTAATTGCGATCGATAAATTTGACATACCATTGGCCGGGGGCCTCGTTAGAAAGTTAGCACTCTGGTATACATTTTCATGCGTCATTCGTTTTGCCACCTCGTTACGCGTGACCACGAGAAATCAAGCTCAATTTATTTATTCTTTGTTTTTTTTTTATTCACGGAACATTCCGCAAATTCACCTGGATATTTTATGGCATCGTACAATCACGTGAATTAAATTCTTCTCTGGATGAACTAATTGACGTTTTTATGAATATGTCATGTTGTCGTTGTGAGAGAGGAAAATGGGCTCAGTAGAAAGCCGGGGAAATTTATTATTCGAGACCCTATGGTAGTAGTAGCCTAGCCTGTTTTACTCGACTAGTTTATATTTCACGGGCTCAATTGAAAAAGTAATCGATGAAAATTAACATTTGGTAAATAGACAAAAATATCTCAAAAGACGAGAATTCCCCGACTTACTTTTTTCATGGAATAATTGAATAAAAATTTATAGTTTTTACTGATTTATCCATAAATTTATGATTAAAATTTCATTTCAAAGACATTTTCTTACAGTTGACAAAATGATCCCCCAAAAAGGAAAAAAAAGCTTGACAATAATTTCCACATGATAAAGCTCCCTGCGGGGGCAATACTTTGGCTGGCTGGCTGGCTGGCTGGCTGGCCCCCATGAAACTCCATGGAGCCACATCCCTCACGTGAATGACGCTGTCCCGTGGCAAGAAACACATTTACCCGGCGGCATATTTCGTCGCAACTTTCAATTACACTTTCAGCATCCTGTTGCACGTCAATGGATACCCCCGGATGAGAATAATATCAGGATGTTCCGTATCTCCTTTCACCCGGAGAGGGAAAAACTGGGGAAATAAAAATTTCGAGATGAAAAATAGAAAAGTGCCTTCACGACTCGACTAGTGGAGTTCCCTGTTGCTCTACGTGGTTTCCCATCGTGCACTCGTGTCTCCTGTAAAATCCAATGGAGATACAAATTTATGTACCACAGTGTACATAGGCCTCCATTCCACCCCTCTTTGTTCACACAGGGTCTTTAAGTTGCCAATAATTCCTCAAGTTGGTGCACTCTGAGGTCGTTGAGACATTCAACTCGCTCTCTGGATCTTGTAAACTTCACCTCTTTTGCTACTCAACTTCCTCAAACCAGTGAATGTTGATCCTGCGATGAGTATCGAGTTTATTCACTGGCATAATGGGAAATTTGTTAATTTAAAAATAAATCCTCGGTCAGCCTCGGTCAGTCTTTGTATTATGGTTCTTCATGTTGTGGCAGACATGAGATTTCCACTCACTCTCCTTCCCTCTCGTTTGCTATGCAAACCCAACGATCCTCGTATAGAGTAGTACCTTGGTAAAACGAGTTTTGCCGCAAGTGCATCACACACAGACTTGGAGCGAATATTTATTAACTGGCACGCGCTCAGAGAAGGAGAACGATCGAGGAGGGATACGTTATGGAATGGTTGTATGTCAGTTGGAGAGGTTTTTCATTGATTTTTGTTGAATAGATTTTGTTGAGAGATGGCTTTTTTTTCTTGGGCATTGAGGGGATATTTGTTAACATCACGACTTATTTTCAAATCATTTACTTTATGTTTTCGAGCAATTTATAATCACATTATTTTGTGAATATTTATTATTAGTGAATGAGGGGATTTTTTTTTTTACTTTTACTGAATTAAATTTTCTCAAAAACATTCAACAACATTTCATTCTCCAATTTTTTCAACAGTCACTTGACTTCATAATAATTCATCTCATCTCCTCCAATCAAAAAATTCATTAAACCTCATCCCCTATGCCAGCTTTTCGCAATTTAAAAATAACCCAGCACGATAAACAAATTGACGTGGGTGTAAATTGGCTGTCATTGTGTAACACAATCAGGACGAGGGAGAATGAAAGATTAAGATCCCTCTCTCTTCTTTTTCCATTTTGTTCAATTAATCGACATCGAGTGGTGGAGACCACCACCAAGAATACAACTCCTCCTCCAAGTGGATGTTTCATCACATATATGTATAGCCATGCAGTATCGAGACTCATCTGCTCCAAGCTACCAGAGGAATCAATGCCAGTACGCCAGTACCCAGACAATAACGGCGGCCTAGTCTCATTGTTTTCTTTTGCTGTTGCACTCTGGAAGCTATTACCAGGCGTCGTTTTGATTTGGATGGGGATTGCAACGAAAGGGGGAGGAAGTAACGTCGTGATATCGCTGTAGCGACACACCCGGTTTTGTGATCGTGAAATCTCACCTGGGTGGGCTCTTTGTTTAAACACAACTTTATACGCTTCTGTAGTGGAGCTAATTAATGGAATCGTTGAATTCAGGCCTTTGAAAATTTTCTACTTTCTTCGGAAGAACAATGTCAACCTTTTTAAAGCAATAATAATAACAATAGCTTGAGAACAACATTGAGTTGAATAATTCTCCAATTGATTCAATTTTGTATCGTTCTTTGATATTTAATCATTTAATTAGACAATTATTCACGTCAGATAACGCCTGTCATCAATAAATCACCATCAATAATCTTTTTAATTGTTTGAATTTTTTACTCAATTATTAGTTTATTGATTTGCGATTTCAATTAGTCGTCCGTATGCTAATTGCCAGCGACACTTCCTTGATTAATTTCACCGATTAAACCCCAATGGTACGATTAATTGGCTATGATACCTCGTGAATTAAAAATAAAGGATTAGTTTATCTTTCCGACTGCTTGTGGGAAATCGGAAAATGGAACTCTGCAACTGTTTTTATTTTTATTCTGGGGTTATTATGGAGAGGTGAGATGGAGATAGACTCTTTGGGAGAAGCGGTTAATTTTGTGTTTCTTAATACTGATTGACAATTTATTTGAATCCACAATGTTGTGAAAAATCTTCTCATTAAGTGTGTAGAAAATTGAAGCCAAGAATTTTTAATACTTACAATTAATACATTGCATTTAAACCGGAAATTGCTTACAATAAAATATACCAACATGCATCCTTCGATTGATTTAAATGAATTATCCCCTCCAGTATGAATAAATCCCGCATAAAAAAACCATTGCGCAACGATGGGATTATGTTTACTATCCGCGAAACCTTTCTAGAATGCTTTAATTAGTAGGAAAAAATTGGCACGAGAATGAAAGCGATGCTTTTCACCCAGGTTGAGTTGATTAACCTCCAGGACGATCCTCGTGATGGTATGCAACCCAAGGCAAATGGTGAATATATATAGACCGTGTTGTAAAAAGAAGGAAGGGTAAAACGATGAAACGAATGGTGGAGGGGAAAAAAAGAGATGAGGCCACCACGGTGATGGTTCTCTTCCTGTCGATCGATCGATATATATATATACGAGAGAGCCCATCAGTCGGGCAACGGCTAGAGGTAGCTCACATAATTGCTCGATTGTCGTATGCATTTTTCAATAATAATAATAATAATAATTAATAGGGAATAAATAAATAAATGAATAAATAAGAGGAGGAGCACATTTGTATGACACATACTCTGACGATTTCAATGTAAAACAGCACGCCTGACGATTCAACTATATTCGTTAACATAATTGCTATGTTATGACCTTTGAGTGAGAGTATAAATATATATGCTCGGGATGGGAGGCAGGCAGGCAGTCCATTTGTCTCAGTTGAATGTTTCATTGGCGGAATTGAAGTGCAACAACCAACTGTCTGATCTCAGTATCATGCTGGGATGTGACCCATCATAAATTCATGAAGAGATAGAGTTACAGATGGCTTTATTTTTATGGAAAATGAAATGGATTTCTGGGGAAATCCTTTGTCGTGTTATTTTATTTTATTCCGGAGATAGGGACTTGGGAGAAATTTATCATTTCATTTTTTAATAATAAAAAATATCCTCAATTCTAAACATCTTTCTCTGAAAAATCATCAATTGTAATTTCACAATTGAAAAATTTTATAAATAATAAATATTCAACCAATTTTTTATTATTTATCAAGCAATTACTTGGACTCAGGTACTGACAGACAGTCTGTGGGGTATACACAAAACGGTACAATGTTTGACCCCTCGATATCACATCGTCTCGATCAGAGCGCGATTCTTTTCACGCTAAAGTACAAACCACGTAGGCTCTCCCCTCTTTTCGTTTTAACCACACAAGAATGAGAAGAAAACAGAGGTGGAGGAGGCTTCAAGTTAAATAAACAAGGAGAAGAAAATGCTATCAACGGTAGCGTTCGTAATTCATTCTCACGCGGCTTCCCTTTAGTCCACAACCATATCAATGTAACATCCTGGAATCCGTAAAAGTTTCCTGGATCTCGTGTCCTCGAATATCCCGTAATAAGGACCCTTACGTAGACGTTATCGAGTATCGGAGTTGAATGAGGAGGGGAGAGAGACTTATACATGAACAGCGTGGAAACAACCTTCCAACACTAGCAAAATCAAAGTTGATGTCGACACACGATATCTTTGCCCTCATATGCATGGGTAAATGCAATAGCACCTTGCTGATTGTTATTTAAAACGACAATTACACTCTTTATGAATGATTAATCATCAATGAATAGAAATTATTTAACAATAATTCAACAAGTCGAGTTGTTTTTTTTTGTTTTTGTTTTCTTTTTCTTATGAAATAAACGATACTCACCAGATTTTCCAACTCTCGGGCCTCCGAGGACGACCACCCGAATCCTGTTAACATTCGTCATCTCTCCAAGAGTGTCATTCAGGTGTCATTTGCCCCCTCAAAACACATTGTCAATAAATTCACAATAAAAACAATAAAAACTTCACTTGAAAAAATCACCACATTCACAAAAACCGCTTTATAATTATCTTGAACGTGGAGGGGAGGTGAAAAAAAAGGTGGGAGGAAATGCCGCGTGTGATGCGCGTCGTCGAGGTTAAATTACAACTTCCTCATCCATCCCCCAACCGCATTCTCTCGAGTTCCCCCGTTCCCTCGTCAACTTTTTATTATTCAATTCCTTATCTCTCTCTCTCTCTCTCTCTCTCTCTCCCTCTCTTCTCAGCGATGAATCCAATAAATTCCCCGTCGTCAATATCCACTGATTTATCGCCAGAAAATTCTTTTTATTTTCCGGGTAATTTTCCTCCATTCATTTAATTATCATCATTTATTTCATCATTTTTGCGAGATGCATGAAAATTCCGTTTTCTCACTTATCTCGGGTGCTTTTTTTCCCTCTCGAGTAGATGTAATGGCAACAGTTGGATATGCAATCAACGTTGTACTGATGATCCCTGTGGTCAACCCCACCAACCAGATGTACTCATCCCCCAGCCCCCTCAGTTAATACACCTCAAACCAAGGGAAAAACAACAACTATTGGAATCACAAAGCGTGAGGGAATAAACGACTAGCCACAAGTCGTTTTCACAGAGTCAAGTGTGAAGATGAAAAAGCCCTCTTGTAATATCCAACTGGCTAACAATTGCCCAGGCGCGGAATTCCTCGTAATGGATCGCTTGTACGTCACGTTTCTTCTTCAGCCAGGGTAGAAGGTAGACCGACCCTCCTCTCTCTCACTTGCTGGGGGGATACCAGAGAGGCGCCACAGCTCCTTCTACTGTTCCTCTTACTGTCTCTTGTATATATACAAAAAACCGGGCCTCTTCACTTTCTCTGATTCTTAACGAGTGACGATACGTGATCTCGTCGTTCCAAAACCACATGGGAAACCTTGACCCTCAACTTGATCAATTTTCCTTTTCCTTTTTACTTTTGCAATTTTCCCCTGAAACAGAAAATTTATTCGCTTCATTTTCGTTTCTCAATAATTCCTTATCGAGTAATTTTGCTAATGCACTGCCTGCCCCAATGTTTTGCATTATCACTTGTTTCATCAACATCATTTCCTGATAAGAAGAATCATTTTTCAGCCTGACAAAATCATAACAAAAAATTGCCAAAAAATTTAATATTTATATTATTTAACGAAATTGAGTCAATATCAATCAATAACAAGTAGTACAAATCATCACTTTGTTCCTCCGCCGAGAACACAAGTGATAATCAAATTGTAAAAGACGGTGATTAACAAATCCTCTATCATTCTTTCGACAACAGAAACTGAATCAAGAGCACAGTGACACATGTCGCAATGTTAATTTTACGCTTGAGTGAGTTTTCGCGTTATCGGGAGACACCGTCTTGAATACTTTGCAATGTAGAGTGAGAGAGGTGCAAAAATAAACATCCATCGGTTGGTGAGGGGCAAGGAAAGAAGGCGAAAATAAAATACCAGAAGTGCATATATTTATCCGGTCGCTTTCGCTTCAACTCTTATCAAAATAAAAAGATAGACATCTCTTTACCTCACAAAGAAATTAATATCCAATGAGAATAATTCGTTTCCACAATTTCCCGTCGATTCAATGTCACAATGCACAAGTTATCACTCAAATGTCACTGATAAATGTCAGTCAATTGAATTTTTTCATCAATTTTCATTTTTTGATTGAAAATTCATTACCGTAAACAATAGGGAAATTGCGGTGGTAGGGGGGTGGGGGGCTACGTCACAGAGATTTACTTTCGTATGAGGAATTCATCAAGTTGACATTTTAATCGTTACGATAAACACTGTTGATGGTTACCGCGTGGTGAGCTCGATGCCGTGGGAAATGAAAATCGCTCCGTGAAGTACTCGCGCCGAGCTCTTGCCGGCGAATGATCGGAGCCAACCTGGCGCACCGTCTAATATGCAACTACCGGCCATATACGCTGGGCGCATTAAAACTTTGCCATCGAGATTTAGCATGTACCAATGTTACAGCGACTCACTTACTCACTGAGAGTTAAGTGCTCTCTGCATTCCTTCTAATGCTCATCTTTTATAATTTTTCATGGGGAGAACAGTTTAAGGGCTAATTGGATAACATTATTATTTTGATAAGGAGGGATGGGGTCATTAAGAGGAGGAAGGAATGTGGTAATAGACATTTTAGCCTTTTATTTATTACAAAAATAAAAAAAATAAAAAAATTGTCAATTGACCATTTAGAAATTATGGCAATTACTTCATTTCCTTTTGATTGTAACTTGCATGCAGCGGTGTTTCCAAAAAAAAAGTAGTCTGGAATTGATTGCTAAAAATAGAAATTTTCAATCTCTTCTCATCTCTTTCTCACTCTATTTTTTTCACAATGAGCTGATGGTGACGATAAGATAAATTTCTGCAGAATGACAACTTTGTAATTCCTATATTATCAACAAAAGATTTGATTTAAAGAGCACTGTAACACGCGCGAATATTCAAATGTCAGATTGTTGTATCCATGGTAACTGTTGTATCGTGTTCCCCCTTAGATTTCCATAAACAACACTCTGTAAGCACTCCAAAGTGTCATATCCCCTTTCAGTTGCGTAAACACAATGGCTAATGGAGACGTGCAACTGGTGACAACGGTCACATCCGACAAAAAACGACCGCTCATAGAAAAATACGATATTCCCATCGAAAAGTTATCCTTTGAGTATATAACAGAGTCTCATAATACTAGAGAAATCGAGAGAATGGTCTTGATTCTTCGGTAAGCTTCATCAATCCTCAAACTTGATTGAAAACAATCTAGAAAATTTAATTCTCATGATTTTTTCAAAAATTCCCTTTCAACAAACCGTTCAACCACTTTTTATTATCTCCAATAGCTCTGGAGAAGAAGGTTACTTCCCAGACCTCCTCAGACACGCAGAGGATCGCCTCCGAAAATTAAAACCAATGAGTCAAGTCCTGCGATGTCCCCAGCCAATCCTCACTCCAACAATGCTGAACAAAGAACAACAAGATGAACTGAACAACGACATGACGCAATGGATGCGGCAGATGCATCTCCGGAATAAGGATCTGGAGGATGGCAAAGCCCTGCACATGACTGATAACATTGACCAACCGGAAATTCGCAAAATCCCCGACAGGTCGAAAATGCGCACAGGTGAAAATCCCCAGAATGAAAAATCGATGAGAATAAAATCCTGCGACTATTCCTCTTGGGACAAATACGACGCAGATACAGAAGTCAACAGGATCGATCTCAAATCCGAACAAGAACTGGTGAAGGCGAAGCAATTACAGCAGAGAATGAAAGAGAAGAAACTAGCGGAGAAAGAAGCGTTAAATAAACTAACGTTAACGGGAACGGAGATCACTGTGCTTGGGGAGAAAGAAAGGGAGAAGGGTAACGAGGCTTTCAGAACTGGGGATTATGAAGAGGCCCTTCAGCAGTACTCACTGAGCCTTGAGATAGACTCAACGATAAATGGCTACAACAATCGTGCCATTACTTACATAAAATTGGAAAAATTCGAGGAGGCGATTCGGGATTGCGACAGAGTCCTCAGTCTCGATTACACCAATGTTAAGGCGCTTCTGCGGAGAGCTTCTGCTTTGGAGAGTTTAGGGAGGCGGGAAGAGGCTCTTGGGGATTATTCAGCTGCGTTAAAGCTCGAGCCGAATAATAAAAGTGCAATAATTGGAGTTGGAAAACTATCGATTTATAATGATTGTAAAAAAGTCAGAATGACAATTGAAGAGTTGGATGATAATGATCAAATTATTGTGCATAAACCGTTTCCAAAAAGCACGAGACAAGATTTTGTTGCTCCAGAAACTAAAATTCAAGAATCAAAAGCATCACGAGATGAATTAATAAAAATAAAAAATCATTTAAATCCAATAATAGAAGAATTAAAAACACCTCCTAAAGACAAAGTACTTGAAGCAAAATCTTGGAAGCACGAAATGAAAGGTGTCAAATTTTCTGAAACGTCTAAAACTGCAAGAAGATTAAGCAACGATATATGCTTCTGTGATAGGGCACCAGGATCGTCAACATGTGTGAAACCATTGCCCCATAGACGAGCTGAATATTGTCTTGGAGTTGAGAGGTATCAAGTCAAGAAAACTCAATCCACTTTCACATTCTCAAACTCTTGTTACAATTATTCCAAGTCTTCTGGAGTGGTTATTAAAGAGATCCCTAGTGAGCCATGTAATAAAATTCCAATGAAAGAAGAAAATTGCAAGGAGAAAATCAGCAAGATTTCTGACTTTTTTTTCAATATGAATGTTAATTCTCCCTACGAATTCATTTGCACGTGGGAATCTTTGAAAGGAGACTCTGACTTGAAACTTTACGCTAAATTACTCAGAACTCTAGGTTCCGCCAATTTAGAGTCGATCGTTGGGTCTAAGCTTAATGGAAACATGTTGAGCACGATTCTACAATGTTTAAAGCGTCATTTTTGTCGAGATGAAGATTCCGAGTTTGTTTACAAATTCTTGAATGCTTTAACGGAGTTGCAACGATTTTCTATTGTCAGCATGTTCATGGACTCACGTGATAGAGAAGGTAAGACAACCGTTAATAATATTCAAATAATTATGTAAATTCAATTAATCTGATGTATTTTTTATTGACTTTTCAGCTGTCAAAAATATAATCGATTTTTTGGAGCAACAAAAAGTATTATTCGACACTAAAAGTCTTGGTGAACATTACAATACAACTTGGTAATAATTAGTCAAATCATGATTTTTATTGTTCAATAATGGATTGAAGATTTTTAACAATTAATTAAGCAAATGCAATATTCATTCAGTATTCAAAATGTTTGCACAAATAAGTTTTCAAACAGTAGAATTAAAAATCGTTACCACCTATCATTGAGGCGCACCAACAATACGCAACAATAGCCAACCACCCAATGAGAATGCGTTTATAGGGGGGGGGGGTCGTTTGTGTAGTACAATCTGAGATGGACACATTATATTCTATAGTGTCCGATGGCTAGTTCGATTCAGATCCGATTAATTTCATTTGAGCCAAAAAAAACATTCATATCTTGTCTGACATCTCTGTTACAAACTCTGGTCATCAACTCTGGTTTTCAGTTGAAATTGGAATTGTTAATTTACACAATAATAGGATTGCATTGACGATTTTTTCTTAACTCGCAAAAATCTTCAAACAATTTGCTATCGATTGGTCATAAAATTTTTTGGAAATAATGAAATAAAGGGGATAACGCCTTTTTTTTCAGAGGTGGTTTTTCAAAAATTTATTTTAAAAAAAGTACTAACTAGCAAACGTTTTTTATTAGCTCGCAATTATCTTCAAAACTACTTCAATGAGGAAAAAAATAAAAATTTGGAATATCTATACATGAGGAGCTAATTGATCGGATCTAGTTAGTAATTGAAATGAGAATAATCCCGCCATCTTTCACTGTGCCGCTGCACTAAAAATGTCGACTGATAAGACATTTCCTGAAGAAATCTCCAATACCGAGCCCTTTTTAACCACCTCTTCAGAATCTGCCCATATTCAGGAATATGTCCACAAATTTCCGTGCCCATCTGTTCCACCATTTTCCCTAGAAGAGAACGTATGTGTCTAAAAACGAAATGTGTTCCTCTCCCCCCGCCCTCCAGCCGAGAGCCGTCTCATCATGTGCTGCCACCTAGTCGAAATAAATCAACTCTCCAACTCCTCCGTGACAGCAGTCCCTCAATCCTCCGTCCCCATCCGTTCTCTTAGCAGCTTGTGACATTTTTTTCCGTTGCCTTTAGCCCAAGATGTTTACTCGGTTCAACAGTGAAGAATTCACCGTGGCGCCCGTAATACCAGTGTACGAAAGCGCGATGGAATTATCTGTGGTATATCAATAATCATCGAAGGTACGTGGTGATAACTATAGAAACAAGCATTCAATTGGAAAAAAAAGTTAACCCAATGGGTAAAAAAGTTGGCGGGTGGTGGGGTGGGGAAAAAAAAATTTTTGTAAACGGTCTGGTGAGTTCAGGGACTTCCTATGCCTTGTGTGCGCTCAGGCGGGGGACCCCGTGTGTGTTTATAGCCTACAAACCCTGACATAGCAATGGCGTTTCTCTCTCTCTCTCTCTCTCTTGACCCCCGAGACCCTTACAAACCCATAAATCCCCGTTAAACCTGAAATAACCATTGTACATCATTGTAAAAACATGAACAAATGTCTCTGGACAATTATTAGCTCTTGCAAATTTGCACCCAAGTGTTTTACCACGTCGTTGGGGCATTACTTGTATACATGTAGCATTATCACAAGTGTGTTAGTGGCAGTACGCCCGTGTTACCTCTTCAATTTCCCCCAGAAACCGTGCGGCACGCCATCCTCTACTGAAAATCGTGTTCACCGAGTGTCTCGGTAGTGCTTCCAGAGGCTTAAAAAACCTCCACCACTCGATTAATCCCCCATCTCGTATACTCATTAACACTAACAAGCTTTTTTTTTTTTTTTCGGCGGGGAAGGGGGGGGGATGAATAAATAATAAATAAATAAATAAAAACTCACACACACACACACACACAATTATACGCGATTCTGGGTTGTAATTGTTCAGTTCAGTTTGGGAGGATTTTTGTTCAACTTTTTTTCACCGCGTGGATGAGCCGGTAGAATATCAAGGGGTTTTATTACCTCCTGGCGGATCCACGCCCTTCTCCAATGTCCAGTGAACACTCCCGTCTTCCCCAAGACTTTGATAATCGAGGGAAAATTATTCCACTTGTGAATTAACGCACTGACATTTCTCACTTCCGCCTTTTTCTTCCAATTATTTTTTATTCACTCCAATTTGTTATGGACGAGTGAATAATTATTTCCACTCAAATGTCGGGGTTTTTGATTCAGGAAGTGTAGCTGATGTTTGGGGGAATATTATTATCAAAATGAAAAGAAGGAGAAAATTCATGCTGGGATGAGTAAGCATAACCTGGTGGTAGTGCATGGGTGCAAAGACCGAGTAATCAAATGCATTTTTATCAAGTGTTTTTTTCGAGCACCCTGTAATTTCCTCCTTCCCCTCCTTTTGATTTTTTTGGTTCTTGGGATTTGGCTTGAGCAGAATAATAAAGAGACGCAGAGTCCTAGTGGGCTGCCATGGACGATGAGGAGCGTCTTGATGGTGAGGAGGAAATGGAGCTTGACGAGGCTTCCGACGGAGAGGACGACGATGAGGAGGCCATTGGCATACCAATCTCACCGGCCAACTCTGATCAACTTTTCACTAGTGTTCCAGTTACTCCAGGCAATGGTAAGTAATTGATTCATCAGAAAAGATAAAAAAATAAAAACAAAAAACAAAGCTAGAGTGTATAGAAACACTAAAAAATCCATTAAATTGAATAATTTTTACAAGTTATGATGAATAAAAGTCATTGGGAAGTATTTATAGTTCACAAAAAAACACTAATTGATCCAGTTTTTTATCCAGTTACCCCAGAGGAGCCATTCGATCATCCTCTGCGTTATCAAAAATTTCCCCTGCCAGGAGGCAAACCATTGAGTATACGTCGAGGTCCTGGTAGGCCGAGAAAAGAACGACCCCCAGGCACTTCTGTCCGGGGATTGGGGGGAGCCCGTAGACCATTTGGTAGAGGCTCAACACGGGGTAAAGCCCTGGGTTATGCTCGCGGTGGTGGTATACGCAGAACAAAAAGCAAGGATGACGATACGCATTCAGAGTCACAGAGTCCTCTGAGACTCGGTGGCGATGATACAGTTGGCGAGGGGGGAGAGTCTTCTTCATTGATTGACAGATCAATGCCAGCACCAGAAGAGCCACCCTACGTAGCAGAAAAGTGGCCAGGAAAAGTGTGTGCATTGTGTAATCTCGGTGAACGAAGTCAACTTGGTCAGGGTGAGCTACTACAGCTCACCTATCCAGTTGGCTTCGTACCCGAGAAAAATGCCAATAATAATAGTGAGGAGATCGCTGCCGCCGCTGCCGCCGCCGCCGCCGCCGCCGATCTTCTCATGGATGTGTCTTCCACCGGTGACAAGAGTCCACGTGGTGTTGGCCCTGGAGCTGTCACCTGTCGACGACAAAAAAGCCTGGCTAAATGCAGAAATCCTAGTCTTAGTAATTTCACTGAACCAGTGGAGGAATTAACTATTGTTGGCTACTCAGAGGAGCCTGATGTTGGATTACTCTTTGAAGCAACTGGAATTTATTATGTACATAAATGGTGCGCTATTTGGTCGAGCTGTAGTAAAGACATCATCACGGAGAGCATAAGCCCAGCGATAGTTGATGGATCGTGCCGTCGGTGTGCTTATTGTTCACATTATGGTGCCGGGATTGCTTGCAAAGTGGGCTCGTGCAATCGTTATTTCCACTTTCCCTGTGCAGCAGCCTCCTCATGTTTCCAGGACACCAAGAGCCTATCGCTATTTTGCAAACAACACTTGGGTCAAGTGCCTCTCCTCATCAACACTGACATTGGCTGTATGCAGTGTTACGGAATGGGTGATGTCTCCAATCTCGTAATGTGCACAGTATGCGGTCAACATTATCACGGCGTCTGTGTGGGATTGGCCCTTCATCCTGGTGTACGAGCTGGTTGGCAGTGTGCAACCTGCAGGGTCTGTCAGGTCTGTCGTCAACCAGACCAAGTCTCTAAAGTGATGCTCTGCGAGCAGTGTGCCAAAGCCTATCATCCTGGCTGCCTTCGTCCCATTGTCACATCAATTCCCAAATATGGCTGGAAGTGCAAGTGCTGCAGAGTCTGCGGAGATTGTGGCTCAAGAACCCCAGGGGCTGGACTCTCATCACGCTGGCACTCCAACTTCACTGTCTGCGACTCGTGCTATCAACAGAGAAACAAAGGCTTTTTCTGCCCTATATGCAAGCGCGCTTATCGAGCTGCTGCTTACAGAGAGATGGTCCAGTGTACTGGCTGCAAGAAATTTGTACACGGAACCTGTGACGCTGAGGCCGATCCCACTACTTATCAACAACGAAAGGAAGCCAAACCAGATTACGAGTATGTCTGCACAAATTGCAAGACTCAAGCACTGACAAAACGAAAGGACAACATTGACGATTACTGTGGAGACACCTCCTCCCTTACTGCATCACAAGAGAGTTTATATGGGGATGGAGGAGACTCATCAGAGTTTGATTATACTGTCGATGACTCACTCTACATGGGTGGTTTGGGTAAAGGCAAACCATTTTGCGCTTCGAAAATAGCAAAAAAGAGATTGGGACTTGCTGCTGGTATTGTGGGCAGGCCCAAGGGTGTTGGTAAACTGGGCTATCAGAAGCGTCAGAAATTGAATGAATTCGGCAGAAAGAGGGGCCCAAAAGCCAAAATGAGAGGCATCTTTGGGGTGCCTGGTGTTGGCCTACAAAAACCCCAATCAGATTCGTCTAAGGAAGAAGAGCCCGGTGTAGAGAATAGACTTGTCTTGTGCTCGGCTAAGGACAAGTTTGTCTTGACCCAAGACATTTGTGTTATGTGTGGAGCCATTGGCACTGACTCAGAGGGTTGTTTAATAGCTTGTGCCCAGTGCGGACAGTGTTATCATCCTTACTGTGCAAATGTTAAAGTGACAAAAGTTATATTGCAGAAGGGATGGAGATGTTTGGATTGTACTGTTTGTGAGGGCTGCGGTGAGAGACACGACGAGGGACGTCTTATTCTGTGTGATGATTGTGACATAAGTTATCATATTTACTGTATGGATCCACCACTGGACTACGTGCCCCACGGTACATGGAAGTGCAAGTGGTGTGCATTGTGTCAGACTTGTGGCTCCAATGATCCGGGATTTAATAGCAGTTGGCAGAAAAATTATACACAGTGTGGCCCTTGTGCTTCACATTCAGCTTGTGCCTCCTGTCAGGAGCCTTATAACGAGGGGGATTTGATTATTCAGTGTGTACAATGTGAAAGATGGCTGCATTGTGGTTGCGATCACATTAAAACTGAGGCAGATGCTGAAAAATGCGCCGAGGAGGGCTACAATTGTATTTTGTGCAGACCAAGGGATGTACCACCACCACATATACTGTGCAATTTACCTAAACCACAGTTGCACAAGTATCCAAGATCACCAGCAGCAGCAGCAGCAACAGCACCACCACCACCACCACCGCCACCACCACTTGTACGAAGCCCAGAGCTTTATAATAAACCATCGACACAGCAGTATTTAGTTGATGGGGTTTATCTTTCTGAAGCTGGAATGCATCATATCAAGTCGTTGACTTTTGAGCAACAGCAAACGAGAAAGAAGAGGCGAAAAATCCTACCAGTTATTGATAAAGATGCCGACATTATGGCCACCATTGAGTCTGTTGTCGCTGGCAGTAGTTTAGATAATTCTTTGGAGGATAATGGCAAGCATATGGATATTGATGTTAAAAATGAGCCTGATGAGGTTTTGAAGGAGGGCATGGTGTGGACACATGCTGATCAACCACCACCTGAGGGCTACAGTCTTTATACAACTGAGAATGGAATCTCTGTGCTGAGAAGAAAACGACAGAGGAATCTTCAGAAGCTTGGAATCGGGGGATTTGTTGTGAGATTGAGGGGAACAAGAAAGGATAAGGGTGAGCATGAGGCTGCTGGTGAATCGGAGTCTAAGCCTGTTGAACAGACAGGCAGTGCTGTATCTTTGAGTGATGAAAAACCCAGAAAAAAGGGACAGAGAAAGAAGCAACAGCCCAAATTGGCTGAAAGTTTTCCACTCTACATGCAGGAGGCTTTCTTTGGAAAAGAACTGATGGATATCACCAAAGACAGGGATCTCAAGAGCAGCAGTGATTCCGACAGTGAGAGAAATGTCTCAGCTAATGGCGATACAATACAACTCTCGCAGGATGAGTTGAAGGCTATTGAGCAGATCAAAACAAAGAATGCCAAAGAGAATGAAGAACAGGAGAGCAAGCTACCTAACGATGCCCTGGTCAAGAGGGAGGAGGAGATTATTAATGACGATGATGCCAGCGATACCGAGGCACTTGGTGATATTTTGCCCATTTCAACGGATCTGCTTGATACCGATGAGCTTGTTAACACTATTATGAATGAACCTGATGAGGATCTGGCGGTCAAAGCTAGTGAGGCACTTGTTGATGAGCTTGATGATCCACCTGGACAGAGTAGAGATGAATTGACGGATATTCTCAGTCCTCATTTCAATCTAGAGTCCATGGTGAGGGACACAGGACTCCCCAATATGGACAGCAAAGATGTTGAGGAGATATTCAAGGGAGTCCTCACTGATGAATCTCAAGAGTCTCAGGAATCATCAGTATTTCCTATTCAGGCGCAAACTCCTCGCACTCCTTCCACCACAACACCACTGGTCTCACCGTCACCCCATCCCAATTTGTCGACGGCAATTCCACTTGGGAGACCACAATTACCTGGTTCACTTCCACCTGTGGCACAATCCAATCTTAACTCGCCCATGAGCTTCCCACCACCATCGCCTTATCACTCCGAGTACAGCAATAGTCCGCAGTTTAGTCCTGCATTTTCTGAACCACCCAGTCCCTGGATCAATCCTGATGAGGAGGGCTCGGGGGGACCTGTCGCAGTAGCCACTGGCAAACAGGGCAATAATGCCAAGATGTTTCAGGATGAGAAACTGGGGGCTGAAGCCACCATCTCTTCGGTTCTTTATGCTAATATGAATCATCCTGAGTGGAAGGAGGAATTCCCATGTGAGTCAATTTTTTTTTTTTTTTTTTTTTTTTTAAAGTAAATTTTAGCAAGATCAATGCATCAAGAGATATTTAAGTCAATTTTGAATGAATATTTTTAATGCACGTATGATTAATCATCTCATCAAAATTGTTCCATTATTATTCACATACAGCATGGCCGGAAAGATGTAAACAAATTCTCAAAAAGTGGCGGGCTCTGCCGAATGAAACAAAAGCCCCATACTTGACACAGGCCCGTGACAATCGAGCCACAGTACGCATGAAGAAGACTCAACAGGTGAGTGAATCCCTCTCTCCACAAATAATCCAACGTAAAAATAAATCCAACAATTATCAACGGAATTGTTACTTGAGAAATTAATCAACGTAACACGTGCAGCTCCTTAATTACCGAGGTTTTATTTTTCTTGTGCTAACACATGAGTCAAACTAACAGCTCGAAAGTTGTTTTTTTTTTCCATTTTTTTCATTTTTTACCACCAGATAGTTTATAATTTTTTCTTGTGTCTGATTGTGTTGCGCCTAGCATTTGAAGAGTCACGAAGAGTGTTGGGTATTCAATTCACATAGAGTAACGGTACTAAAGGTGAGTCTATGAATTATCACGTTGACTCTAATTCAATAATGCCATGACCTTGTCCATATGACGCGAAAAATATATATTTATATATATATTACAATGGAATTAAATAAAACCCAACACTCTGCGTGGATGAATTTCGTGTGTCCCTTTTATTAATACAATGTTTGATACCACATTGACATAAATTATTGAAACATGGTTTGAATATCCCATTGGTAGTCCAATCCTGTGTCTCCTCTGGATATATTAGTCGCCCCCCCCCCACACGCCCTCGCCCCCTCCTGAGAAAATCAGATCGAATCGAATGATGGAAGATTAAGATGAGGAAAAATATGTCCTCTATTTCCTTTTCTTCTGTCCTGTTCTGTACTTGATTGTACTATTCTCTTCTGTTCTGTTCTGTGTAATATAAAGAAAAGAAAAAACAAAAAAACGAAAAATGTGTGTGAACGTGTGCCATCTCCCTGAACCGACAGATACCCAAGGATATACCAAGCACGATCCAAGTAACAGCAACAAGTTCACCCACCATCATGACGAAACCAGTAACAAGCATCACACCATCCCAAGTAACTCCACTAGTTGGAATGGGTACAGGTCAAAAGCAAATTGGATTGTTGGCCTCAGTGGCCAGTGATAAAGCCCAGGAGAAGCAAGGATTACCAGGACAAGTGCAAACAGTCATCAGTGGATTATCACCAGTTGTTGGTGGTGCTGGTGTTTCAACAGGCTCACAAAATATAGCGGAGGTGTGTGCGGTGCAGGGACCGCCGCCGAGGCAGCTAACAACAATATCCCCAAGTCCATCCCCCACCTCCAGTACATCCTCATCACCAAGACCAAACTCAGTCAATTCAATGAATTATATTAGCAATTTATCGTCACACCAAGATACCAATGGTACAGTCAAAGTAACACAGTTACCAGCCACTGTTACAACGACTATTGTCACACAAACGACAAGTAATAACGTTGCTGGACAAACTAGTCAATTGACGACAGTTCAACAACGTAATTCAACTAATCATATCACGATAAGTACAAGTACCATTGTCAATAATCAAATTGTAACACAAGTGTCACACGGTAGTAGTAATACTACTGCTGGTGGTGGTGGTACAATCGTTGTGGCTGGTACTGTACGACAATTTACCACGGTAGACCATCAAATTCGAGTGCTAACCCCCTCTGAAATAATGCGCACCCTCCCATCCCTCAGCCAGGAGCACTACGATCCGCCACCCACTGCAATTATTCACACTGTACCTGTACAGACCCCGGCCATGGTGAGCCAACCTCATACCGTTGCCTCTAGTGTCTTGTATTTTTGCCCATTTTTTTTTCCTCAATACGTCTTTTGGATAATTTTTTCAAGACTTTTCTCTGATTTCTCAACAAGAATTCTCTTTGTTTTTGTTTTTGTTTGTTTTTTTTTTAATTAGGTTCAGAGTTCTCAGTAGAGAATCTCTAACAGGAAAATTCGTTTTTTTTAAATTTGTTGTTTTTTTTCTCGTTTATTATTTGGAATGATATCAATTTTTTGTCCGAATTTTATTATCATGTTCCTGATGGCTGATTCAATATCTGCGACGTAATACGAGGACTGTTTATGACTCCCTATGTATGATCGTGATTTTTAATATCCTTTTTTTTTCGATATTTCGATATTATGTGGCATGTTCATGACCACCCGGTAGCACACTCCGTTCATTATACTCATTAAATCCCTTGTTATCCTTTTTCATCGTTCCTGTTACCTGATACCCCTCCCACTTACCCAAATTACTAATGATATTTTTGGCTTTTTATGAGTTTATCTAATGGGTGATTGTAGAATTTGCATATTTCTTTGTGCCAGTGGTTTTGTTTCTGTTGATTTTCTTCATCAGTAATACCTTTCTTTTGATTTTATTTGCTGTAAACTGTTGGAAATTGTTGCGTTTAAATTTTTTAAAAGATCAATAAATTCAATTGTATTTTGATATTTTCCCATAAAATATATTCGACATTTTCTCAATGTAAAAAGCCAATTTCTGACAGTGTACGCATCAATTTATTAAATACTTTACTTTTTTTTTTTTTTTTTCAATTGATTAATTAAAGAAATAACTCATTACTTTTAAGGGCTTTAATTGTTGCAGGAAGTATATATCGTCGATAATAGATTTTTTCTGCACGTTATTTATATTTTTGTCATGATTCAAATACGGATTAGAGGATGTAGATACAACTGTGTGTGAGAAAAAAATATTTTTATACAATTTTTGTGGTCTTTTCTATTCTAGATGGTGGCTGGATATTTTATATCGTCTTTAATGCACAAACATGTATATTAAATCGTCAAACTTCTCATTCTATCAAATTAATTAATTGTAACATGTATCTTCTTATTATTCATTTAATTTTATTCAATTTTCTCAGTGAATGTATCGGTTTTGGTGTATGAGTTTGGCTGGTTGTATAAGACGCCTCGTCGGATATTCCTAATGTAATTGTTACATCCTCTGACGAATATTCAAAGTAAAATAATTATTTTCGATTGAAAATTGATTGTGGGGGGATGTAACGATTGAGCTTTTTTCGTGAATATTCATATGTAATTTATGTTTTTTGTTTTGTTTTTTTTTTTTTTTTTTTTTTTCAATAGGAACAGGATAGACTGTCAAATCGCGATCGATCAACTAGAGAGGCTGAGCAGGAACGCCAGTGGAAGCAGTTGCAAGCCCTCAGACAACAGCAGGCACAATTGCAACAGCAAGTCATTCATGAACAACGTGTACATGGTGATTAATCAATGATTCCAACAATTTGGATTAACTCTTTCTTTGGAATAAATCATATTGATGAATTGATGCTTTCAGCTATGACAAGGGTACATAGGACAATTAATGACGATGGATCTCAGATGACTACTGATGCTAATTCTGGACTTACTGCACAATTACAAGTTACAACATCACAAGTAAGAAATTATTGTGATATTTTAAATTTTTTCCAAGAGCGAAATATATTGATTTTTCAATGTCTCTGGAAAATATGAAAATTATTGAGAAGAATGTATAGTTGCACTTTGAAAAAATACAAAAGAATGGGATAATTTGCAGGACGGTAGCCAACTAGGGCCAATGACATCACCCTCTCCAGGCTCTCGAGGCACCTTTGCCACACCACCACTGAAAGTAAATCGAATAGCAGCAGCAGCAGCAGCAGCAGCCCCGCAGAGTCCCCTGCAAGGGCATCCTCGTCTACCAAATCAGCCCTGCGGCGTCACAGTGACACGTCCAGTGGGGACAATAGTTCGCCCAGGGATGCCCAATACCTTCACTCAACCACCCTCGCCATTCTCCCCGCAGGCACCCCAGTCACCCCACGATTTTCCTCAGTCACCAGCCTCCTCCCAGCCCCAGGCCCAAGAGCACTTCCAGAGATTCGAGAATCCTGAGGGCTTCAGCCAAGGGAATCAAACCCCTCGTCCAATAATGCCAGGTACCCCCACCTACTCCACATCCCCCAGAAACGATGTATTCTCTCAACCACCTGGTACCCCACGTCCTATTTTCAATCCACCAACACCTCGTACAACCACACACGTCTATGCTCCATCACGTACTCCCGATCCTTATAGCAATCAGCCCCAAACACCCTCGCCAGCATCGAGTTACACATCACCGAGGCCAGAATCACGACAAGAACCCCCCCAGCCACCTGAGGTATTCAGCCAACAGCCTGAAGTCAATCGACAACTGAGGGATCTCCTTCAGAGGCAACAGTTTAGCAAAAAAATTGAACAAATACCTGGCAATTGGAGCCAGGAGCCACAGAGTCCTGTGGGTGAGGGAGTGCCGCCACAACCATTTGAGCAGGGCCATGTTCAAATTCCTCAGCATGTTCAATCTGCTCCTAATAATGTTGAAGGAACTTTCAGGCATCCTTTGCCACCTGGTATCAGACCCAGAATGCCTCTTCAATTGAATGTTTTCATTAGGAATTCACAAGGTATGCAAAATCAATGATTTACAATTTATTTGATTGTTAATTTGATTGTTTACACTTTTTACGCCTTTTTTTTTTCTCACATTTTTTCTAATGTTCAGTGTCCATTTTTACACAATTAATGTTTAATTGAACACACAGGAAATGTCGATGCAAGACTTCAGGGAATCGATCCCCGAACTCGAATGCTCGTCCAGCGACCCCAAATTTCAAGCCTTCCCCAGCCGCACTTCCAGAGTCAGCAGCTCCAGAATCCCCAACAAATTCTCCAACAGAGGATGCCGGCCCCTCGAAACCCAGTGTCCGAGCAGTATGAAATGCTCCAGCAGTCTCCGCAAGTTGCCCAGTCCCATCCCCAAATCCAGGCTCCGCCTCCAGCTCCAAGATTCCCAGATCCTAATCAATCGATGCAGAGGATCGTTCGTGCTGGTCAGGACATGAATCAGAGTGTGCGAATGATGGCACAGCAGAGCATTGCACGTCCACCTCTAATAGCATCGACTGTTAATGATAATCCATCCACGGCTTCAGAGGCTTCAGAGATTCCGGATAATGTGACAGCTGAACTGGAGAAACTCGAGCAGGAGGGGGCGCCCATGGTAGAGGTCGAGGGCGTCAGTGCAATATTAGGTGATTTGGCTGAAGATGACGATGAGCTTCTTGCTGAAATGGGCGCAGATTTCAATATCCTTGAGTACGCTGATCCTGAATTGGAGAGTATCACTGGTGGGGAGAAAACAAATATCTTGGATATGGATTTGGAGCAGGTAGAAGTCGAGACGAAAGAGGAAAAATTGAAGAAGGAATCATCCAAAGTGGAGGAACATAAGACTGAAGAGATGGGGGGAACGACGAGTGCTCACGAGATGGGGGATAATACAGCCGTTTCAGCACCGGTGGAGGAGGTGCCTAGTGTGCCTGCTGCTGCTGCTGCTGCTGCTGCTACGTCTGTTCCAGTGCCTCAGATACCGACCAGTCAAACTCAGGCACCCAGTGCCCCTATGCTCCCACAAAATCATCCACAAGTTGTGGCTGTGCAGCAGCAGATGAATCATCATTTACAGCAAGCTGCGGCTATGGGAAGACCCATTCCTCCGGGGATGAGACTCACTTCACTTGATGGCACTATTGTTGGGGTAGTTACGTCGACGAATACTGTTACTGTTAGCTATCCGTCGACTTTTCCGGGGCATGGCGTACAGAGGGTGCCACAGCAACATATGCAGTGTGAGTTTTTTTTTTTTCCATGCAATTTATAATTTTCTTGATGTTTACAGATGGATGGAATTCGTGAAGAAAGTTTCACTAAACAAAATTTATAACAAAGTGTAGGAGAAATTTGAGCCAAAAATTTGCAACAGTGAGGGGAATTGGAAAATGATTATTATTCATTTTTCTGTTGTCAGTACAACAGCAAAGATTAGGCATGAGAGTACCAGCAGGTGTCCAAGGTGTTCCAGGCAGAGTGGTATCTGTCAGTCACATGGTTGGTCCTCGAATGCCTCTGGCACCACCACCTCCGCCACCACCACCACCTTATCCAGGCCCTCCACCACCATATCCAGGACCAGTACAGGTTAGTACCTTTCATCAAAAGCTCTCTCCCAATTTTCTTGAAATTCATGCATCGCTTTACGAATTACGTATTTTTTCAACGACTTAACGTTTCATTCTACATCTAACTTTGTCGAATTTAATCAATCTCCTTCTTAAATGTGACTTGGCAGCGCGCTTTTAATTGCTAGGTGGAATTAACGCGGTGAATTTCATTGAGATAATTATCAGTATTTGTTTTTTTTTTCTTGTTTAATAAACTTGGACTTTTAATTTTCCGGTGTTGGTCTGGACTAATTAATAATTAAGAAACTTTCATCATGATAATTGAGACTGAGGGATTTTGATTATAAGATGATTGAGTTATAACGGTTTTTGGCTGATTTTTATCGACTGGAGTTGAGAAAAAGAAAAAAGTAAAAATGAAAGAAAAAATGGTGTTTTGGCCTGGGTGTTTGCAATGCATTGGTGTTGGTGCATGTCTAGATGGGGCTGTGCCAAGGTGGGCGGGGTATGCCGCGACCACCGGTGCATATCGGTCATCAAATGTCCGCTCCTGGTCCACCGATGGCACCAGTGGTACACACGGGCTCACCTACAGTCGTACCACATCCACATCGTAGACCCCTGCTTCTCCAGGTGAGCAAGTCTCGGGGCGTTTACAAATAACTGAAATGTCAAAATTACTCATGATAATGATAATTTATCAACAAAAATCCTGTGATCAAGAAGAGCAATGAAGAATCAAAAAAGAAATTTTCATCATATTCCTTGTTAATTATGCCATTATCTCAAGAATCATTGATTATTCCAAGAAATATCAAGACATTTTTTTTATATTAAAAATTTAATTTTCTATAACAACTATATTCTGATATTTTCCCCTGAAATCCAAAATTCTTGAGACAAACTCAAAATTAACAATAATGGTGAAAATTGCATTACCTTTTATTATAATTTACCACTTCAACCTGAATGAATTTGAAAAAAAGATAAATGCTGTTAATGTCAATAGGTGTTTCAAGTATTTAGTACTGGCTGCAGCAAATGAGTGTCCTCTGCATGATCGTTGTTATTTACAAGTTGTTAAAAAAAAAAAAAAAAAAAAAAAAAGTCGATACAATTTACGTGAGAATGGCTATTTGGTACTGACATTAACTGTCAGCAGTCGTGTTCGCAGGAGCAACCGTTGTTACTGGAGGAGCTCTTGGAGCAGGAGAAGAGGGAACAGGAGAAACAGCAGAAACAACAACAACAGGTTGAAGCTGCAACACCAGGTCCTCTGTTGAGTGACGTTGAGTTTGAAAGACTTCGTGCTGATGTGCTTGGATCAACAACTTTAGGATCCCCTCCTCATCAGGCTATTGCTGGTCCCTCTACTGGACCCATTATCAGGCCTCCAGGCAAGCCACGACCTCCTTCTGCACCGGGACCTTCGAGTCAATGGCCTCAGGTGCCTACAGCCGTTAATTCACCGATTCAATCGCCTAGGCAACCAATTGCTACACAGACAGCACCAGAATGTACGAAAAGTGATAATTTCTTTTTTCTTTTTCGCATTCTTCATAATTCCTCTATTAATTTATTATTATTTTTAACAGTGAGGATTGCAACATTCAACATTCCCCACCTGCCGGCACCCCCAGCTCCTCCAGACGTCATTGCCACCGAGCAAGATCGAATGATCCAGCTTCATTACGAGCAATGGCTAGTCCACCAGGGCCAAATTTTGAAGCAACAACAAACCTACTACGAAACAGAAATGTTGAAACTTCGAAAGGTGAAGAAATCACTGAACAGTAAGAAGCGTCAGCTCATAAAAGCGGGTAACGAGTTGACGGAGAGTGACGCAATCGAGCTCAAGAGAATCTCAGATGAAGCAGCAGCCCTCCAGAAATTTTTGGAGCCCAGCAGAAAGCAATTTCGTCAACACAATATCCTAGCTCAGGAGTACCAGAACAAACAACAGCAGAGGCAAGTTCAACCCCAGACATCAGAGCCCTGTTCACCTTTGATGTCACCCTCTCAACATTCATCTCCAATGCACAGTCCAGCTGGACTTGTATCTCACAGTCCTGGGCCAGGCTCATCAGGAATGATTCAACACTCCCCAGCAACATCGATGATCCAACACAGTCCAAATGCTCAGATGTTGCAACACAGTCCAGGGACACAACAGCCAACTAATCCTGGAACTATGTCACCTCATAGTATGCAACCCTCTCCTAGAATAGGAACTCCTCACTCTCAAGGTGAGGAAAGTCCTTTCAGTCCTGGAGCAATGCCATCTCCAGGAATGTGTGGACCCTCAACGAGGATGACATCCCCACAACATCGAGCTGTGATGAGCAGTAGACTTGCCACGAGTCCTGGAGCATTCTCCCAAGATCGAGGGAGCCAACAAATAATGAGTGAGCAATCTGTGAGACTCCAAAACATTCATCAGAGATTCGTGAGACCCTCCAACATTGGGGAAATGGGACAGAGGCCGAGAATGCAGATGCAGGGAGGAATTATTTACAACCAAAGGTCACCCCTGGGCAGTCCTCAACCCTCCCAACAACAGCATCAACAGATGATGACTCAACAACAACATCAACAATTATTACAGAGACAAATCCAACAACAACAGCAGCACGAAAATTCAATGAATCAAGAACAGAATATAATGAATCAGAGGAATATGATGGCTCAACAGAGGCAGATGATGTCCCAGAATCAACAGCAGCAGCAGCAGCAGCAACAGCAGCAGCAGCATCAGCACGTTATGCAGAAGCCTCCAACCTCCCCAATGGTCTCACAACCTGCAAATTCTCCAAGTCCTCAGCTTCACCAACCGATGCAGCAGAATTATGGACAGCCTCCAAACTCTCCAATGCCTAGGAGTCCAATGGTGCAGCAGACGATGGGTTCCCCAATGCTTCAACAACAATTGAGTCAAAGCTCTCAACCTCCTAGTCCTATGGGAGGAAGAATCCACCATCCGCCAACATCACCAATGGTCTCTCAGTACCAGCCGAACCCTCCTAGCCCTATGGCGAGGTCTCACCCATCAACATCTCCAATGCTTCCACACCAATTGAACAATCAGCATCATCCACCTCCTCCCCCAAGCTCACCAATGCCCAGGAGTCCAATGGTCGCTGGCTCTCCCATGCAGATGCAGAGGAGACAATCCAGTGGAAACAGTCCAGCTATGCCAGACAGACCTCAGAGTGTGGAGAATCCAGGGACACCTAGGACACCTCACACACCTCATACTCCTCATTATAATCAACAGAACTCTGCACACGTTGAACAACAACAACAACAACAACAACAGCAGCAGCAGCATCAAATGGAAACTTCCCAGTCAGCAGACCATCAGAATCGAGGAGGTGGCAATCCACACAACCCCATGAACCCTATTCCCTTCAAAAGGAACTTTGGAAGGTTTGGATTTATAAAACTAGGGCTCCGAGGGGGCTCTCCCATGTGGTCTACTAAACCTGAATCCAGTAAAGGCAAGACAGAACCAAGAATATCAACTAGTACAGTATCTGATGAAAAAGCCAATACCTCAGCTGTTCACAGAAAAACTGGCATCTCTCAATCAAAGATAAATAGTCTAGTCTGTGCTGATTACAATGACTTTGATGATGACTCTCATACTCCACCGCAAACCCCTCCGAATAGATCAGATTCTAAGGTTATTCAGGGAACTGTTCCTGACAAATCCAGTAGTCTGGGAATTGGGAGTCCCAGTGATAAATTGGAATCAATGCCAGATACAACTGATTACGATGATGACAAGACTATTGTCAATGAAGAGGTGACACTGAGTTCAACAGCTCAAAGGGACAACGACGACATCACAGTGATAGAGGAGTTCTCGGAATCAGAGCTTGGAGATGTAGTTCTGGGGGCTCTGGATCCGGAAATGCAGGAAGAGTACGTTCTCTTTGAGCAGGACATGGTGGTAGATCTCTCAGTGGACTCCAATGATTCATTGAGTCACGCATTAGTTAATAATACCAATCAGAGTCATGATCTTGTGCAGATCCTTGAAATTCAACAAGCCCATGACGATCACGTCCTCAGTGATGAGGAATTGATTCCAACACAGAATAGAAACAAAAAGGGACTTCGATTGGATATAGTTAGAACTCTTGGCAGTGGAAAACGTCTGGTGGCTGTGACTGACACTCCTGAATCACCTGATCAGGAGGAGATGATTGATCAGTCGCCTGGAACCTCTCCATTTCTCGATGATAGGGAGGATCACAACTTCATGGCTCTGGTTGGAGAGTCTGAGGTGGTTATCATTGATCCTGACACAAAGTCCCCTGAGGATCATTTGTCTAAAGAGGATTGTGGAGACGTGGAGACTGAAAAGATTGATTGTAATTCTATGGATGCTAGTCAAAAGGCCAATGATAATGTTGAGACATCAACACCTGGTGAAGGGACTGATAAGAAAAGCTCTAATTTAAATTTTTCTGACAAGTCCCCCCCTACGAGTTCAACAACAATTGACAATCCTCCTCGAGGTTCTAATGATGTTCAACTTATTCCTCTCGATGAGATTATGGTAATTTCATCAAAAACAACAGGAGGGGGTAGTCCTCCTCCTCCTCCTCCTCCTCCTCCTCCTCCTCCAGGAAATGATGTCAAAGAGATCATTTCGACTCCATCAAGTGATAGCCAAAAATCATCGGTTTTACATGAAAAGGACTGCAGCAGCCTTATTGGTGATGTACAAATATTTGTGACATCAAGTCCAACAGCAAAAGAAACTCCATCCGTAAAGCAACAAAAGGTCAACTCTATTGACATTACTGATGGGCCAGTTGAGGCCCCTAAAATCGACGATAAATCTGAAATCACTCCATCTAGATCTGTATTTCACGCACGAATTGAAACCGAGACAATAGTCAATCCTGTCTCGGTGAAATGTTCAACAGTCTCTCCTCTGAATCCAAAACCATCGGTTCCAGAGTTATCTCCAAAAGAGAACGAACACTCATCACCAAAAGCAAGCCCTGTAGCCCCTGAGAAACTATCGACAATCAGTAAATCAAAAAAAGATCCAGACGAATTATCTGCCAAGGCTGAACAATCCATCCCAGTCTCGTCTATTATCAACTGCACTGCATCATCATCATCATCATCATCATCATCATCATCATCATCATCATCTTCCGAAGTCCTCGAAGAATCCTTAGAAGAGAAGAAGACTGACCCTTTAAACACAACAGACGAACTCGAGGACATGCTGGAGAAGATTCACAATCCCGCTGAGAACGCTATAAACGGTGAGAGTAAGAAGGAAAAGCCCGTTGTTTCACCCCTCCAGAGGATATCCCCAGTCGTCGACGAAATGTCCTTGGTCAACATTCTTGAAAGCGATGCAGATCCCATCATCAGCGAGAAAAAAGACGACGAGAGGGAAGATAAATTCGATATAAAAATCCCAAAATCAGAGCCTCCAACCACGTCAGACAGAAAAACTGAGCCAGAGTCATCATCATTATCATTAAAGCCTTTTGAAAAGGCTTCTGTTCAGCACTCGGAGGATTCCTGTGAGTCTCCAGAGGATATTCTAGATATGCTGGACAACATAATCTCGACGAAACCAGAGATGGTGGATACTGACATTTTAGAAGATGACAGATCCAGAAAATCAAGCCTGATTTATCAACTACCAACTCCTCTGGAATCCCTTCCCCTGAACATTCTCCAGGATTCGTTGATGGATTTGGAGGCTCCAGGGGAAAATGAAACCCAAACTGAGGATCCTCCACTTTTGGATCGCGGATCCTCATTAAAATCTCCTGGAAGAGTGAAGAGCCCCCCTCCGTCATCTCAACTTCCAACAACAGCTGCAGTTAACACTGTTGCACAACTCCAACGGAGCACGACAACAGTTCCTCATCTGTCGCCTCTATCAAAGCCCACAGAGTTGACTTCAAACGTTGCAAACGTCTCCCATCAACTCAGAACTTTATTGTCATCCCTTCAGACCAATCATTCCCAGAGCTACACAACAGCTGGACAGGCCACATTAGTCTCCATGGTCTCATCAGTCTCCTCTTCAGTATCGAAGACAAGTATTGTGGTGACTGCCACTGGAACAAACTCTCTAAGTAGTAGCCCATCGGCAACTTTAAATTTCACTAAATCCTCAGTCGACACAACGAGTACCTTCTCAGCAGGTGGATTGAAAGAATCTTCAAGTGTCATTCCTTCATTGAACAAGACAACATCATCAGAGCAGTTCAATAGGATCTCTTCGAGCTCAGTTGGAGGTGCTCTGGCGAGTTTACCGTCTCCAACGATTGCCTCAAGATCTGGCACTAATTCGGGAATTTCTATTACTTCAAATGCAATGTTGAATGCCATGCTATCGAGGACCACTTCGTTAACAAAACCAACGATAGCTGGTCATCGAGCCAACACCATCACCAGTAATCTCTTGAGTTCAGTCCTACCAACTCCAACTATTCAAAAGTCACACAACATTCAGACAATTCTCCAGGTCAGCACGAGTAGTGGATTAATTTCATCCAAGGCATCTCTAAACGCCGCCCCAACAGTCGTCCCAACTTGTTCAGTGCAATCAGCGAAAACTGTTGTTCCTCCAATGGTATCCAACGTCGCCAACACCATTAATGTGACAACTTCAATCCTCCAGTCGACTCTATCACAAGCACCAACACTTCTTCATTCCCAATTGTCTGGACAGAATCAGTACAAAACGACAGGGCTTTTACCCATTGACAATAAATGTGGGGAATTGGATAGTAGTCTAGTTCAGACGTCAAAAGATGAAGAGGTGAAGGTGTCTCAGACAGGAATAGCGAGGTCTGAAGATACCAAGGGGGTCAATGCTCACAGAATGGAAGAATCTCAAAATGTTCTTCTTAAACAACTTTTGCAGAATACTGCATGTGCAACCACAGTACCACCTTCATCGACCTCATCAGCCCCAAATCTGCCAATAGTTCCATCCTTGGAGGCTCAACTGGCAAGACCTATCCCCACTCCACCACCTTCATTGATTCCACCTTTGTTGAACAAGATTCCAAGTACGAAGACAGTTACGAAGCAAGTGCTCACAAGGGAGACATCATTCGTATCTCAAGCCCCTGTCTTAAAGACTCAGAGTAGTTCCCCCACGAAGGAAGAGCTCCCGAAACCAACGAGTTCAGTGTCCTCGGGGCCTGTTACACCTCTCCAAACAGTCCAGCCTGTCCAGCCTGTCCAGCCTATTCAAACCATCCAAAGACCAATGGAGACCAATATCCCAAAGGTCCAACCCAAAGTGTCATCTCCTCAAGTGTTGTTACCTCAACCTATTTCAACAGTTGCTACTAAACCACTTTCGACACTTCAGACACAGAAAACTGAATCTCCATCACAGTCAGAGGTGGTCTCCACGCCTACCAGTAGCACACCTCCAGTTACCGCAAAGACACCAACATCATCAGAACCAGTAGCTCTAGTACAGCAGATTAGAGTGACAAACGTTCCAACGACCTTCACGCGGCTTGTACCAACTGCTAAACCAATCCAACCGACAATGCCTACAGCGCACAAGATAATGCCCCCAAGTCCACAATTATCGAATAACATACAGACACCACCGCAGCCATCAACACCAGTACCAACGACCCCTCCACAAACGCCACAACCCCAGGGCCAAAGCCAGGTATCAGGATCAGCACCACAGCAAAAACAAACAGTTCAAATGCAACACCAATTGCCCCCCCAACAACTGCAAACACCAAGAACCCAAGTAGTTAATACTCTACAACCGTCAGTGCCTCAGACGATGCCCATTAAAATTGGCCATCAAACTCACCTCCAACAGGGTGTAATTGCGCAACACACAGTGCCTTTAGTTGAAGTTAAAAAAGAAATTCTCGATGAAGTACTGTCGGGTAATCCACCAGTGCAAAATTCTGATACCAAAGATTTTCTTACTGCCAAAGAGGAGATTATGGATTGTACTATTGACGATAAAAACGATCTTAAGAAAATTAAGAGACGACAGTATCAGCAGAAAAGACGACAGAGTCAGGGCAAGGATGCGTCTACCCAGCCGCAGAAAAAGAGGTCACGTAAGGTGTCACGATTGGACGAGGATTACGACACATTTATAGATAATCTGATGGTGCAATTGCGTCAATTACCCCAGATGACGGTGCTTGAACCTCTCCTGGGGAGGAATTACGGTGTGTGCCCCATCTTTGGATCTGGGGACCTCTCGAAAATAGGAAATCAAAGGGACTACAACACCAGAACTGGAGATTGCAGTGGAGTTTATGGAGTTGCTAGGCTTCTGGGTGTCTCTGATCATTACAATACCCAGCCTTTTGGTGAACAGGAGCCCTCAACTCCTCAGCAACCAACTTCTACCCAACGAGGCTTCTACGATCAAGAGTTTCCACCTCTCAAGCTGGATGACACACTTGATAAGAAAGAAAACCAGTTGATGACTCGTGACGTTGATACTCCTGACACAATCGTCAGTTCTTCTTCACCTGAGTGTGTTATTCCAGAGTTTGTCAATCGTTTTCCAGGTTTGAGACTCATTGAAGAGGAGTCTGACGAGGAGTCTGACTGGCTCAAGAGAGTCTCCCCAGTTATTCCTCTGATTTCACCCATTCCAATTCGCCTGAAACCACCAGCTCCTCACATCAAGGACAATTCCAAACAGGATAAAGAGAATTTGGGGACAACGAGACTGGGAAAATCTCCACCAATTGCTCTACGTGAGAATGGCAGTGTCACAGTGACATTAACATTGAATAGTCAAGCAGCTGATGACATTATGGGAGTCCTCAAGGACCTTGCCAATATCCTCAACATCTCTCCACCGAATGGCTATCAGATTGTGGAGAGAACAACAACTCCTCCTTCCCAAAAACTTGGGCTTTATCGAACAAAGGGCAAGGATGGCAAAGAGGGTGCACCCATTGATATCCAGAGCATCCTCAATGGTGCTGCTAAATTTTGTCGTCATTGTGACGTTGTCATCCTCAACAGTCTAATACGTAAGAAAGTATCAGACCTTCCATTTCTGAGTAAAGAAGAAGCAGAACCAGGGGATGAGCTCTGCTTCTGTTCAGCTGCCTGCTACATGCAATTCGCCCTCATGCATCGAACCCCAACGACTCAAGGGAAAGCAGCAACAATAGTGGATCATTTGTGTTCAAAATCAGATGTCAAACTCCTGGACAATACTCTGAAGAAGAAACTCCAAGAGAAACGTTCTCTTGATAAACAAAACCTAGGATTGGAGGGATTGGAGGGATTGGATGTCGATCCCATGGAGATAAATCCTGACATTAAAATCAAAACCGAGAAAGATGATTCTGATGGTACAATGATATCTGAAAATGTGATGCAGCTCGAGGAGAAGAGGCCCAAGAAACATGCTGCATCTGAAGATCTCCATCGGGCAATTGATCCAGCAGATCCACAACCTCCAGCCAAACTCTGGAGAGGACTGAAATATAAACTCTGGACGATGGGGGGAATTCAACCAGCAACAAAATACAAGAAACCAACGGACAGGGAGATAACAGAGATGTTGTTCAGAATGGGAGTGACTGTTTCCCCAGTAAAGACTGATGACAGTCGTCGGTGTATGTTCTGTCAGAACCAGGGGGATGGGGCTGCTGATGGACCTGCTCGTCTTCTGAATTTCGACGTTGACAAGTGGGTGCATTTGAACTGCGCATTATGGTCTGAAGACGTTTATGAGACGGTCAATGGAGCCTTGATGAATCTGGATGTTGCTCTTCAACACAGCTTGGTCCTTAATTGCGTAGTTTGTGAAAAACCTGGAGCCACAGTCAAGTGCTTTAAAAACAGATGCACCAATGTTTACCATCTTGGCTGTGCAGTTAAGGATGGCTGCGTCTTCTACAAAAATAAAAGCACTTTCTGCGCTCAGCATGCCCAGAAGAACGACAAGGATAATGAATTAACAACTCTGTCGGTTTATAGGAGAGTCTACGTCAATAGGGATGAGAATCGACAGGTGGCAGCTGTCATGCATCATTCCGATCACAATCATCTACTCAGAGTGGGGAGTCTGATCTTCCTCAGTGTGGGCCAACTTTTGCCTCATCAACTAGCTAATTTTCACACTATCAATTATATCTATCCAGTGGGCTACAAAATCGTGAGGTTCTACTGGAGTATGAGGAGGCCCAATAAACGATGCAGATATGTCTGTTCCATTCATGATGTCTCTGGGAGGCCAGAGTTCAGGGTCCTCGTGCAAGAACCTGCCCAAGAGGATGTTGAGTTGAGGGATGCATCCCCCAGGGCTGTGTGGAGTAGAATTCTCCAGCCTCTGGCTGATATGAGGAAGAGTACGAACAGTGTTCAGTTGTTTCCAAGATACGTCTCTGGGGAGGATTTGTTCGGTCTGACAGAGCCTGCCATCGTTAGAGTCCTGGAGAGTCTCCCTGGGATCGAGACGTTGACGGATTACAGACCCAAGTATGGGAGAAATCCTCTCCTGGAGCTGCCGCTGGCTATCAATCCAACTGGAAGTGCCAGAACTGAGGGAAGACTGCGTAATCAATTGCCTTGGAAGAGGCCCCACACTCAGAGAACTGGCTCCTCCGCGAGAGCTACCTATGCTCCAGCGGCTGCTGTCGCTGGAGAAGTGGCGTGCCCTTATTCCAAACAGTTTGTACACTCCAAGAGCTCACAGTACAAGAAAATGAAGCAGGACTGGAGGAATAATGTCTACTTGGCGAGGTCCAAGATCCAGGGCCTGGGTCTCTATGCGGCGAGGGACCTCGAGAAACATCAGATGGTTATTGAGTATATCGGGGAGATCATCAGAACTGAACTTGCTGAGACTAGGGAGAAACAGTATGAAGCTAGGGTAAGTATAATCATTTATTTCAATTTAGCTTTGACCAAGCATTATTTCCATGATGCTTAATTCATCTTCATCTTTTAGAATCGAGGAATTTACATGTTTCGACTTGACGAAGAACGGGTGGTAGATGCAACGCTGTGCGGTGGCTTGGCGCGTTACATAAATCACTCCTGTAATCCCAATTGTGTCGCCGAGATCGTTGAAGTTGAGCGTGATCTCAGAATTATTATTTTTGCTAAACGAAGAATCTCACGCGGTGAAGAGGTAAGATTCGTCATTCATCATCATTGATTTTATTCAATTTAAATACTTTAAATGCCATTAAATTATTTTCAGCTGGCATATGACTACAAATTTGACATTGAAGATGACCAGCACAAGATAGCATGCGCCTGTGGTGCGCCTAACTGCCGCAAGTGGATGAACTAATTGAGCTCAATCCACAAAACACTGTTGTTATTGTTGCTAAGTTTTTTCGGTAGGTTTTACAATGGAGATGATTGAAAACAAATTATATATATATATATATACATATTATATATAAAAAAAAATGAATAGACATATTATTTAATTTGTAAAGTGCCATTGCAGTTTGTCTAAATGATCGATTATAGTGAAGTTGGTGCTATGCCATCACGACATTCCTCCAAAGTTGTACAATATTAGCTTTTACTTGAAAAAAAAAAAAAAAAGAGAAATGAAAGCCGCATTATGGTGGAAAAATAATGGAGAGCGGATCGAATCAACTTGTAAATTTCAATGAATTATGTAATGAAAATTGATCAAGTGTGGAGTTTTGAGGAGGCTAATGGGTGGTGAATGGAAGGAGGATTAATGAAATTTGTATCTTTATAATTGTGGGGTGTGTGGAGCCAAAATGATTTTTAAAAGAATAATGGTTTATCCACGTTGTAATATAGAAAACATTTATTAATTAATGCATATACAATTGCACTCGTGTCTGTACATAGGTAGAAATCCAATATTATTTTCAATCACCAGAAATTAAATGAATAATTAATGAAAAACAAAAAAACAACAAATTATGTAACATAACAAGTACCTAATGTAAAATTATATACAATTATAACTATTTGATTATACAATAATAAATCAATATAAAAAATATATTTTGTTTTTGATTTAATGGGGCAGAGGGAAAAAAATGGGGACGACAAATTTCATATGATTGACATTATGCAGTAATGCGATGTAATACTTTATTCAGCAAATGAAAAAAAATAAAGGCGACTAAAAATTATAATGATTATATTCAATAATCTTGATTCGATGATTCATACAGAATCAAGTACAATCTCAATTTATCACGTCACAGCGAATTGTTTTCATAATTGATCATACGAACGTAATTAACAGAATTTATCGACGGAATACAAAAAAATCAATGTTTCATACTTCAACAAAAGTTTACAAAGAAAATTATAGAAATACCAGACATTCAAATAAATTATTCAAATGCAATTCTTTGGCATTCACGCACTTCACAAAGCGAGGAATACTTCAGCCGCCTATCAAACGAGTTTCAATAGTAATAATTACAGTAATGAGTCTTAAAATAATTGTATTAAGTACTTAAGCGAGGTACGACAGTTTTTTTTTTTTTTTTTCATTTCTAATTAGTGTTTTAAACCCCTTTGATATGGGGAGAGATTCACAATCTCCAGCGAATAAATAACCAGTTGAGTAGCTTAGACTTGCTATCGAACTATTCAATTAACGAGGGGGAGTATATTCAGACATTTGTTTTCGAGATTCGATTGGAGATTACGTGGCTGGGGCTCTGTACTCCGGTGCAGGTGATCACGATGCTGTCAGGTCGTCCCTGTATGCATGCAACAAATCAATTTCCGTATTACTTCAGTTACATTCGTCGTCGGACAACTTCTAGGAACTTGTTATTCATTTTTTCTTTGTAGATCACTCGTGAGGTGAAAGATCCTCGCGATAACTCGACAGTGAGGATACTTGGAGAAATAAAAATAGTCTCGCGTTTTGTCCCATTAGTTCCCAAGACATTGCATGATGAAAAAAATGCGATTTTTTTGCATTAAAAAATTGCCGGACTAAAATGGGTCTTCATCTCATCGTATTATCCAGAGAAAATTTACCTGCCTATCAACTGAGACTATCTGTACTCCCCTAAGATCAGAAATTCACTTTTCAAGATGTCGAAATTCGATGAAATCGTGAGAATTAATTAATTTTCAAGAGGAGAAGACATGCACATGCAGTGTAAATGAGTGCGCGGATGATGAATTCAAGTGGAAATAGAAGAAGAAGTGTAAACTTATCACGTGCAAGTACAATCCCAAACAGGAATAGTACTTCATAAAAACATGAATATAGGGAATATGCACATTAAGAATATTCAGCCTAAATCATTTGGAGATAGTTTAATCTTTATTGCCATTAGCTTCAATAGTATTTATAATAATTATCATTATCCACATATATTACAGCTTTATACAAGGATCTTCCTATACACTAAGTGAATAATCTCTTATTCGTCCTTTAATTATCATTCATCCACTGTTGAGAATTAATTACTTTTAATTCCTTGTGTTCAATGATTTTTCTATGTGTATAAACGTATATTTCAAAATGGGAGACAAAATTTGATGAGCTACTATTAAAAATTATGAAAAATATGGAAATTATTCTTAGCATTTGTTAATGATGATAGACTAGTAATTGAAATGAAGGAATAAATCAAATTAAAAAATTGAGAGCATTACTATTTCGACTGCTAAACTCTGGAATGATGAATTATGGAAAAATACTATTCAATATATGTAGCTGCTAACAACTGCCAAAGCTGATCCTTTTGATTATGATGTCCTCTACCTACGACATCTTCGTCAACATCGACAATTAATTGAAACTCCCTTGGATTAATCCAAATCACGATTTAAATCTATTCTCCTCATTTCATAATTCCTCTTGAAAAAAAAATATATGTAACGCTTTCTAAATGTTAAAATGAACTATCAACAAATGGATAGTATTTGTGAAAACGTAGATGGATGCCCATAACATGTAGGCTTAGGCGTTAGGCCCCCATACACTAGTTGTACAAATCTATGGAATCCGCAGTTTAGTGAACGTCAATTCTCATTTATACCTGGATAAACCCACTAGAATTACGTAATACTGCAACGAATTGTTGTAAACAATTATTATAAAATGCTACATCACTATATTCTGATAAATCATCCATTAGCCCCTCAGTTCCATAATCCCAGATCTCACGACTACATCTCTCTACAATTAATACTATCACTGTTCAAGTCCTAATCAGCATTAAAAAAAAAAAACAATTTTTATAATTTTTATCCAACGAACATAATTCAAATGCGCAATACATGTCATTGACAATATTTCTTTAAACCTCTCAATAGGTAATTTAACTTCATTCACTTTCTAAACAACTTTTCAACGCCAACAATGAAACAAACATAAACAAAATTTCGAATAAATCCTAATGATTGAGGAAGAAATTATCAGGAATTTTTTCATTGAGATGTCAACATATCCATGTCAACTATTGTTTTATTCTCAATTATTGTGCAGTCTTGGCTCTAAACAACGCAATGTATCAAATGAGCTGTTAGTCATTGATGTTGAAGCTAGAATTATTTATTAAACATATTCTTTGGCCTTTCGAGCATCAATCGTAAATCTTCGTTGAGATTACTTCATCGACATTCTCACGTTTGGAATGAAATATCGTTGAGAGAAGAATGCACCGAGTAAGTGAATAAAAAAAGAATATGAGTACGACAAAATGCATGAAACGTAAAAAAGTGATTTTCTAATTGACACCTCCAGTACGTCTCTCAAAATAACAAGAGGAAAAAATTAAATAATATTCATCTACTTATATATAAAAGTACAGATTAAAAAATCAGATCCTTAGATGTTAGAGAGGCAATGAAGCAATGATTACATCTACGTAATTATCATGAGTTAAAACTATATGTTGCATATGACACAATTGTTTTGTTAATTAAATTATAACCGGTGTTATCAGTACGATAAAAAAGCGAAGAACCAATTCAACATTCAGCAGAAATATTTCAATCGAATAAATGATTTTCGTTTTTTTTTTCAATCACAAATACTTATGAAAGTAACAAAACAAAATGAATCACGTTTACTCGATTGAAATATGTGCCGAAGTGTTAAAAAACCTTAAACTTAATTTATTATAAATAAACCAGAGACCAGCACCATATCGCATACTTTCAGCTGTTGATAAACGAGTTGAGCCCTCGTTATGTTAATAATTGAGCGCTAATTAATTAATTAATATTACACACTGAGATGTTCAGATCCGTAATGACCCTCAATCAGAGAGCCCCTAGTTAATCATTGAATTCTATCAATAAATAAAACAATTAATATACAGAAACGATAAATCCCTTGACCCCACTGAATCCACCAATTGTTAATAATTAAATAATTTCGGCGTTGTATTACACACAGGCAGTTCAGTACATTCGAAGACTCATGTATTACCCTTATTATATCTCTCATTAATTAATTAATTTCATCAACTCCAATGAAAACATTATTTATCCCTTGTGCTTGTAATAATTGATACTGTTTTTATTTAACTTCTATCAATTGATTGAAACTCTCGTTGAACTTTAGAATATGGTTTTTTTTTTTTGTTCATATTATCCTGCCTGTGTATATTGTTAATTAGATGAAGGATTAGATGACGCACGCCGAAAAAACACCCATGACGCGTCAACCAATGTCCCCGCCGTAGTCCTGACCATTAAGTAGATTACGGTTGTAAATGGCAGCCCTGTAACTATACCTATTTGTTGCTGGACGATCTGGTACTGGTGGTGGTACTAATCCAACTTCAGCGTTTAGTAATACACCTCCACCTTCGTCAACTTCACCGATACTGCTCTCCACGAGGGATGGCTCGACCTCGGTAAATGCCAAACGAGAACGCAGCAGATAGGCGTATGTTTTGTATCTTTTCAACTAAATTTTTTAAACAGAAAAAAATATGACGACTTTAATCATTGTATTTTCTTAGAAGTTAAATTATCTGGGAACTCAGTGCTTCTAGGGGAAATCACTCAATTTGCATCCATATTTGCTAATGAAAAGAATGAAAGACGAGAGTTTTGAGCATCGGTACGTATTCTATGTCATATTTTTGGTTGCATTGTAAAGAAAATGAATATATTCACCTTGATTTTCCCGATTTTCATTAATTTCATTGATTTTTCCATAGAGGATGGAAATTTCTACCAAAAAAAAAAAAAATTTTTTTCAACACGATCATAAAACAACAAAAACGCTATTTACCTCGTAATGAAGATAGGTATCCTTCTCCTTGTAATTTTGAACAGTGAGAGCTTTGGCTCCACGCTCAGGCGGATGCCTCCGGTGCTCTTCCAGCTCAGCCTCCAGTCTATTAACCCTCTCTTCGTGGTCCCTTAACTGTTCTCTCTACATAAAAAAATTGAATAAATTCTAGATGAAATATCCAACTAACACCATTAATTACCAAGAAGCTAAACTAATTAATGATTCCAACTGGTAAATCTAATTGAACTGAGCGTAGGCATGAGGTCCTAATGAGCAAAAGTAATAGAATGTTTTCAGCGAATTGGAAAGGGGGGAAAATAAAATAAACTCGTGCTTGGACCGAGTGATGATGCTTACAGGCGTCAATTTGGTGTGACTGCAGGGAAGCAAAGGCCGTTGAAACTTTCGTTGTGAACCTACCGCTCCGGCGAGTGGCTGACAGGAAAAACTCGCGCATACGAAGTTTATTGTGTCTATCCATGACTGAAGCTCCTTGGAATCGCTATTATTAAAGAAATTAATAAATGACTAAATTGAGAAATTCCACAAATGCACTTCTCTTAGTGAATAAAATATCTTCAATCACCAATATAATTCATCAATTTTTCATTATTTAGCAAAATAAAAGACTGCAAAATGTTCAACATTTTTCGTCCAATGTTTATATGGAAAAATAAAAAAATATATCATGCACAACTCAAGGGGGTTTCAGAGAAAGTCAAGTATCAATGAAATAGAACAATTACCTAGTTTGGAAGAGGTACTCGGCCTGATCAGCAGTTTGCAGTCTGAACACGTGCTGTTTTTTCGTGTAATCGGACGCCTTGGTCGCTAATGCATGATGAATTCTTATGGCATTGTGTAGGCTATCATTGCGAAAGCCGTGCTCGTCTTTATGCAGATATAAGACAAGTTCACGTAGTGTACAGTAATACATTTTCCAGCCTCGTTTGCCAAATGGAGCTGCAATGAAAACGTCAATGAAATGAGTAATCCTCTCTCCGTAATAAAACGCCATCATTCTCTCTATTCATCGTTTCGAATTACATAACATAACGTAATGTATTCACAATTGACATAATTCCATATAGAAATTGGTACAAACTTTTCTTTCCGTTAGCGTCGTAACAGCACTTGCGCATGACGTAACCCTTCTTGAATTCAGTAGCACCAGTGACATTTGGCACATCGAGAAATGGATTGCCGGATGCTGATATCGCTGGCCCATCGCCCTGCTGAATTACCTGAGACGCCGTGTCATCTCCTTCCTCATCGCTTCAATCAAAAGATAAATTATTCACAACTGTATTCCCCATTATTGTTTACCTTATAATCGACTTGAAGTGCAAATAACATTCCATTGTCTATTTACAAATTTCCCCAGAAATTTAATGCAACTGCTCAATGTACACGAATGAAAATTGAAAATTGCAAATTGCCTTTCAATTTCAAAGTTTTCTCTCAAGTTCCTGCAGCACTCACGACCGCAAGTAGTTTGAAATTTGCTCTTCCAATACAACAACCACTCAATCTATACTCACAGTGCCCATTCGAGAGGATAAGACTTGATAGCCGTGTAAAGTTGTTTGAGCACCTCCCTAGGAAAATTATCACCATCGTTGAGCTCCGACAGATTCTCAATGAACTCGGAGCACGACATTTTTCTTCCAATGTTCTGTCCATGTAGATCGGTATTGAGGAGCATTATAGCGCATGTTAGTGTATGCACGGCGTCTGGAACATATGAATAAACAATTAAAATTACTTCCTTTATTATTCGTGAATAATTCACCAAAAAATTCTTCATTCACTATTATAATATTATTAACCTTGAGAATTGAAAGAGCCAGGATTGCAGTCGATATATCTCTTTGAAAAATGTACAAGTACACGTTCTCTCTCCTGGGTCTCACCAGTCAGTGAGAACTGTGCGAGAAACTTTCTGAGTGCCACGTCCAGCGTGTCCCCTTCAAAACTGAAATATCTCAGGTATTCTTCAGCAACAGCTCTGGAAAAGTCGTTGCTGAAAAAGAAAAATACCATTAACCAAATGATGAAACCAAATAAATTATGCAGTGGAATTTTACTTTTTACTGAGGTGCCTGGACACGTCCGATTTTTTAAATCCATCGAGTGAATACAATCTCTTGGCCAATCTCACTGCTGACGGCAGATCCACCGCTTTAGGACTGTAGTGGAAGCTGTGGAGACTCTCAATGTCACTCTCCTCGTCAGCCGATTGCGGTGGTGACTGTCCACTCTGTTTCTGTTCATCGCACGAACCAATATGTATTTCATTTTCATCCTCGTTTTCCTTCAACTCCTAACGCCAGGGTACGCCACGTATATTAGGAATTAACAGGATTTTACATTCATATGAGATAGTAGATATATATAAAAAAGACTTGGGTGAGGAATACTACACGATAATAATAATAATAATAATAATAATAATAATAATAATAATAATAATAATAATAATACTAAGAACAACAACAGTAATAATAATATTCTTTAGTAAAACTCACGCCAGACGATGGTCTCTGCTGCTGTTCACCACCACCACCTCCACTATTGCTTCTCCTTCTGTTCCTGGGACTGCTGGAAGTCCTGCTCTCCTTGTCAGGCCCCTTGACCTGTATTACAATCCTATGCTCACTAGATTGGCTGTGCTCTTGTGCATAGCCCATACTCTTATTAATTCTCCTCTGCGGTGGTTCACTCGCGAGGATCGTCGAGTCACTGTCACTTGGATCACTAACCATCATAATATCACGTGCACTGAGAATGTCCATAGTCTCTTCGTCATTGTAATCCGGGCTTGACATGTTGCTGATGGCCTCTGATTGACTGAGATCACCATTTGTCGGTGGAAAGCTTGGAGTTCCTGCTGAGCAATTGGGCAGATTGGGACTGTTGCTTGATTGGGGAAAGGGATTACCTGGACTTGGCAGGGGAAATCTGCGCGATCCAGAATTGGAGGACATGACTGATGAGGATACGGATGTTGGAGAGGCTGGGGATAAGGAACGCTGAGGACTTGTGCCCTCTGAACTGCTGCTGGACGACTGCGATGAACTGCCATTTTGACAGCACGAGGTGCGTTCTGATGCGGAAGCTGAAGGTGAACTCACTGGGGCATTATACGTCCACACAATCCTCTCACTCGAGACACCCTGTCCACTGTCAGGTCGTGTGTCTAATAGTGTGTTGAGGCTTGAGGTGACGTCCTCATCGATGTCAATATCCACTGCACTCATCGACGGGTCCTTCTGGAATTGCAGGTGATCCTCTGACCTCGATGTCCTGACGAAACCACTTGAGTAACCAAAATTCGTGACGTTGGTCTTCGTGTCCACAATGCTTGGACACTGACTGGGATCTCGTTTACCCACACCCACTGGCGAGGTCGTGGCTGAATTGGAGCCAGTGGTGGATTTGTAGGAACGATGGCCCAGCATCTCGTTTGGGCTCGTTGGGACTGAATTGTGATGGTGATGATTGTAGTAATTGTGATGACGATGGATGTAGTGGTTGTTGTAACGGAGTGAGTCGACTTTCTTCTGGTATTTGGGGAGAAAACCAGTGCTTTGTTGGGTTCGAGAGAGGTTCAACATTAAATCCCCGGTCATCATGTATGCCTCGAATCTGACAATATAATTCAAACAAAATATCATAATTTTCCATTTGTTCCCTGAAATTCAGCTCAAAGTCTCACCTAGGTGTATTTTTTTGTCTGCTAAATTTGTCGCCTGATAGTGGCTCCCACTGTGCTCGTTCCTCCTCTTTGAAACTGTCTGTGTTAACTGGTAAAAGTGCCTCAAACTCGGAGGAGCCCGAGGCATCGCTGTACGATCCATTGCTTCTTGATGCATACTGCGCACCAGCTGGCACCACCGCCTGTGGCGAACCGAGTGCCAACTCTGGCGATCCTGCTTTTCTTCCCTTCACCTTCTTCTTCTTCTGCTCATCGTAGTTACCCAAGTTGGTTCTTCCATCTGCACACACACGTGGACAACTCACTTCGTCCAAAAGTTCTTGTCCTGGGGCTAGTAACCGCCTCACGTGTGCTTTTATCGCTGGATCTGCAAATGTATTTTCATTTTTCATTTTTCTTACGACAATTCCCTTTCGAGTTCTGTGGCACGATGTGGGTATGTTTTACAACAAAGAATGGTGTTAATTTTTATAACAAAAAAGAAAGCCCATTTCCCTCAACAACCTCCAATCCTTATCAATTACCTTTTTCCCCAATTGAACTGGAAATAATTGATTCAATTGATCAATCATGGAAATCGCATAATATACACATCCACTGACACTAAACCGTCTTTACCAATCAGCCAAACATCCCGTCTGACAAGCTCCGCTCTATTGACTCATTCATTCGAAATGGCAGGCCACAGTGAGTCAAAATACAGCACACATTGGCAAATATGTATACACACACGTACTCCCCTGACCAGTTGGAAATCGAGAGGAATCTTCTTTTACCCTATCTATCCTTCCCAGGTCTTCTTTTTCATTCACTCTGTGTCTATCCATGTGAAACCTCAAGCACAGTACTGGATATTTCTGTACACTGATGCTTTGTATAGCTCCATTCGAGCATCGAGGAAGAAACGTCACTGATAAACCCACGCCACTGGAGAAATTTTATCGTCTATTCCTGATGCGATGAATGGGTCGGGGTTTCATGGTGATTTTATTCTATTATTCATTTGTTTACAAATATTCATAATTTTTCGAGGTGAATAATACGAGAAATATGACTTTATCATTTTCTAGAGTTGTTCAAATACTACTTTCAATCTTCACAAAAATAAAAGGAATAATCATCATAATATCACCACCAGCCGCCCCACCTCATCAACCCCTCTCCCAACGAAATTACAGGAAAAGATAAATCCTCAACTTCCAACAAACTCCATTCACTCATCATAAAATCCACTCGGTTTTTTTTTCCATCCCAACAATTCATAAAATCTACTCACCCCTCCTGAGCTTTAGGGTCACTGGATCCGAGGACAATCGTAAACATTTGAGCACTGAAATGAAGAGTAAAAAACAATTTGTCTCAGAATAAAATTTTCATGTAGTTGATACAAGTAGATGTGAAATGAAACGAGTTTAATATTTTCATTATTATTATTATTATTATTATTATTATTTGAGTCTGTGATACTGGTTTTGCCGGTGTGTCTAGACTCTCACGGCTGAGTTTCGACTGGCATGCACGCCCACCGGCGGCAATGAAAGTCAGAGGTACGTGGACCTTCTTTCTCACTCTCTCTCTCTCTCTCTCTCTCTCTCACTCACTTGCACCAACGGGGTGTGTGTTAGGTCAGGATAAGGTCGATGCATTGCGCGAGCGCAAGCCACCCGCACAAGATTAGCCGTTGGATTTAAGGCTACCAATGTTGACACTAGTGAGGATCGTTATATATCAAATTGTAAATTCCCACTGGATATTCTCAATGAGGAAATCCTTTGAAAAATCTTGTTATCATCAAACTACGATTTTTTTGCTCTTTTCTACAGGGAAGGGCAAGGGAAAAGGAAAATTTTTCACATTTTTTTAGGTTCACATTTCATTAACAATTCAACATGTCATTTGGCATGTCTCAAAGAAAGCCAAGAGTGTCCATTGTACCCCACTTGCTCCCATAATTTTTTCCTTCCATCAGGGTTATATTCCTTAATTAATCAATTCATTTGAATTTTCATTGCTTACATGTATGATTTTCCTTCGCATCACATAAATTAATTTCAATAATCATCTTTCCTCGTTGAGAAGAATTTTAAAATATCCAATTTTACAAAACAGAAAGAAAACGCTAAAGTCAAATATAAAAACCGAATGACATGATGAAGTGAGTGAGTAAATTACTTATGAAAAAAAAAGAAAATCGTATTGATGTATATACTCCGCGAATGGAGTGGAGGAGATTCCAAACTTTTCCAATTCACGTATGGTACTTGGTACACTTGGCAGACAAAAGTATCAGAATTAAATTTTCGATATTGGATAATTTGAAGCTCATTATGAGCTAATTTTATACGCTTTCTTTCCTTGTCTGCCGGGTGTACATACGTTTCCAGTACCGAAATGTCAAAATTCATTAATAATTCATGCTAACATGATACTTTTTCAATGCACTCCCCTGATGCATCAATCATCTCCATAGTTTTTAAATTACTTAAATTAACTCCGCAGAAAGTCCCATTAAAGTATCGAAGAAGAAACTTTATTTTTAGATGTGAGGAAAATTTCTTACCTTCCTTGGTGGTGAAACGGTTGACGTCTATGTCATTTACTCGAAGGATTACGTCTCCAGCCTCTACCTGTAAAGGAGATATAATTTTTTATTTATTGATTATAAAGATGTAACATTTTTCAGGAGGAAAAGAGGAAATGATAGAATGAGATTGGGGAAATTAGAAATTTGTTACATTACCAAAAGTATTGTCACAAAATATCAACTTTAATGCATATTACAGACGCAGAGGAGCTTGTGACAGGTAAACGCAAGACATTAGGGTGAGACACGGTCATTAAATGCATCGCGTTTGACAACATAGACCCAGAAGGAGGAAGTGAAACGAGCCTTCGACCCACGTTATGCGCATCGTTACGTAGGACACTTTGGGTGGTTGGCTTCGAAACGCATAACACGCGGGATCTACACGAGGCCACTCACTTTCGATTGGCCACTCGGGATATTGCCTGTTTATGCGATTATAACCAGAAGCACTATCGATTATTCTAGATACAAATAAGCACGAAAATTTCCCATCAGTCGATTCAACCTAAATTTTCCCTAAGATACAGTCTAGAGTCAATATCACGTTACTTTTGTTGAAAATTTCGTAAGCTACAAAAGAAGGTTTCCCAACTTTTTTCCCTAAACTCCATAGTTTCCAAGATATTCAAAAATTTGAAGAAAAAAAAACAGGTTTTTTCTGTCCCCGTTGGTAATTTAGAAGCTTCATTATTGAATTAATCCTAAAGTTTAATTGGAAACTATTGTAACCCACATGTTTCCATGAAATATCCATCGTAGTTAATAGGCTAAACATTCTAAACCGTATATAGAATGCGTCGCAAGTCCAGCCAGCCGCAAAATTGAATCGTCACAGAGGCCAGCCGCGGCTGTATGCCACGCGTGATTACGAGCCATGACCCTCCATCTCCCTTACCCCCACCCCAAAACATAATATCATACATGAGTGCATGTATAGATCCATAACGCCATCCACAGAAAACGATAAATTGTACGTTAAATACCGACTATTCTCGAGTTATTTCATATTAGCAACGATTTACCTCATCCTCTAGTCGACTGTAAACTACGTAATTGTATCTGTCGGTTTTTGAATGCTCAGGTGAGCAACAGCAGCAGCAGCAGCTTTTGCACAATGAAAATACCTGCATTTCACTTTTTTTTTCAATATTTCAAATCCAATGAGTAAATTAAAAACCTTTGAGCCATTTCATTTTCAGTTTTTATAAATATTCACAATTGTTTTTAAAATTTAGATGGGCTTGAATTAATTATTTCTCCTCATTCATGAAGGGAAGACTCATGGAATAAATATTTTGTTCATTTAATTGGATTGCAAAAAGTTTAATGACAAAATAGAAAACAATTTAACACTCCTCACCACGATTAAAGCAGCACTGATGTTTTTTTTTAGACCTGAGACTCCCACCCATCTCCCTCTGGTGTCTCAAAACCCTCAGCCAGTCGTTATTTATATCCCTGATATTGACATTGTTCCATTATACATGTACATCAACACATCTCGTGCTCTCAAACTCACGAAACTTTCATGTTGGCATTTTGTTATTAACTCCACGTCTACGAGTAAGAATGTTCTTTTAATTGAAAATTCGTTTGAGCCTTCGCCCTGGCACTGGTTTTAAGCCACTTAACGGCCTTCACCGTACTGACAGCTTTCTGTGCTGTTATTTTCGTGTGTCTGAACATTGTGAAATCTTAAAAGCCTCAGCCACCCCTAAAATGCGCTTGAGTAAAGGAGTCACTCATTGAGTTGATCCTAGTGTTTGGGGGTTGATTAATCTGTCTTGAGGCTTTTGTTCAGTATTTTGCGGGGGAACGTACTTATCAACAGCTATTTCGCCCCCAAGGGATTTATATTCACTACATTTGCCTGAAATTTTCAACATTTTATCAATGATTGCATTAATATTTTAAACATTGCCAAAGTAATACAGTTTAATCTCCAAAATATTCCCTCTTCCAAACCTGACAGGCTAATCCCAATAAAGATGAATCATCATTGTCACTTGATGTCAAGAATAGACATTTTTTTCTTTCATTCCCAACCACGTGCCAGTGTCACGCAAGGTCCCATTGACAAAAGGCCGCAGACGTCACGCAGGTAAACATCAAATGCATCCCGAACAAATTGCCGCTTTAAATACACTGTTTGGCCCCTGCGTGTCCCACACAATTCCAGCCAGACAAACACCTTTCTCCCATTTCTGTTATTTTGTTCTTTTCATTTTTTTTTTATTCACCTCACTCACTCGTTATTTCCATCAGGCCAATAGTCACGCCATGAAAGCCCCCAATATGTGGGAGGAAAATCACGAGACTCTGCAAATAATAGCTTCATTCGCCGGGCTGCTGTTCCAGGGGATGAGTTGGAGAATCGATCATTGTTACCCCCTTTTTTTCTTTATTCTCGTTGTTTTCATACTTCACTTACTTCGCTGACTAAACGATCAGTCAAAGGCATTCCACGGGAGTTCATCTTGGGTCAGATGATAATCACATGAGATAGAATGGTGTGTCTAGACTGATACTATCTTCCTATTCAGTTTGAACGATTTTTTTTTTATTGTAAAATGAAACTTTAATATACGTCTTGTTTCATTGAGTCAATCTTCAATGTTGAATTTTTTTTTTGGAAAACAAATGATATCAATGAAAAATAAATATAGAGTGACAATAAAAAAATGATTTTTCTGGAATAATAAATCCATAAATTCGTGTTCCATTCTCCCCTAAAAAATTACCGACTGGAATCCTCTCTTTTTCGTTTTTTTTTTCGAACCACTGAACCCACCGGCATCCGAATTAGCCGGACGTTGGGGAGTTGCTGAACGCGGCTTCCTCGCTCTCTGACCGTACCTCCTCATTCTTTGTTTCCTTTCCCAATGCATATTCATAACACCAAGAGGCACGTACTGCACACATGCCTGCTAACCGCGTATGGATGTGCACACGCGACATAATCCCTAAATTCAACTTGAAAACTAATCTCGTTGAGATTATTCAATTTTGACCTGTTTCCCATTCTATATTTCCATAAAAATAGGAACAATAAAGTTGACGTTATTCACCCCAAGGGACAATGTTCCTCCATCATTTGGATGAGAGCGATTTAATTGAACGATTTGAATTTTCAATTAAAATGCACAACTCCATCTCAAAATGAAATATCATTTGCATTTAAAAAACTAATGGTGATTGTCTCTCGATTACATAAAGAGCTTCTCACAATTTACTTCCTCTTTTTATCCAAGATTATCTCCAATATAAGATTGCTAAAGAGCTTGGAACGAGGTATCCTGGCGTCTCGAAGCCCCGGAAAAAATCCCCAGACAGTAAAATCGATGACTAGTGTCTGGATGATAGTATCTCACCATTGACTCGTCACATCCGGTATAATTTGATGACGTCACCGAGTGAGAATTGTGGATATCAATTCCCCGAGTGCCTGCCGTCACTGCACTCCTGACCTGATAAACACCCGAGGGTCGATAAGCGTGGATAAACCAAGGGTAGTTTAACGGCCAGACACTTCTCGGGATTCAGGATATAATTATCAAGCTCTCTCCGGGTTTATTCCATTTTCTAACACTGGATGTGACATCAGTGTCTATTTGAGTCAAGTGATCCATTCATTGGATTTATTGGCGATTTCATTGGTATTTTGATATCGGGTATTGATGAGAGAATTTTATTTTTGGATCTGTAGTTGTGAAACATCTACAAATTTATAGATGTTCGAAGGGCACTGTTTTTCCTCATCGTTTTATATAAGAGATATTCATCAAAACCTCACCGGTTCTGGAATCGAATTGACTCTTCTCGTTTTACCACTAAATCTCTTGTTATCTTCTTTGAAAAACAAAGACATAAAAGACTTTGAAAGCCGTATCGCCGAACAGCTTTCCGAAATTTCCAATCCCAAGCACTATCGCACTCCATTCATCCCTCGCAACATTTAAATAAAACTAGAAACTTCCTCCTAGAAACTTTCTGCCTCCTGATCGAACTGCCCTCTTTCACATCAACTCCCCTTGAATTCCCACAAGTAATCATATCATTTCCTCAAGCTTCAAATTTTCAACCCCCCAGCTAATCCAGCTACACAAGACAGCCTGCATGAATGATGAGTTAATCTTTAAATTTTGTATCCCTCTCATCTCTCATCCCTTCCTTAAATCCAACGTCACAGCCAGAAACACTTTGTGAGAGGCCTCCAATGCCCCTCATCAGCTCCAAGGTATACGTGCATACATCTTCATATCAGTGGTAACGTCAGTTTCGTGTCGTTGAATCGCAGGGGAGAATGTCCATGTGGAATTGTCGCATGACACAATCGAGGGACAATGTTTTTTTTCTTCTGTCATTTTCTCCTGCTATTTCTGTTACACGTGGGATTGGCTACAAAAGTTGAAAAAAAAGGGAGAGAGAGAGAGAGAAGGAAATGTTCCATTCAACCAGTGAGTCTCAACAGCTTTAACTGGAGTAAAACGAGACGCATTTTTTTCTCTCGTTCGTCGTTTTTATTTCGCAGGAATCGTGTGTAGAGAGGTCTCGTCTCCCTGTATTAGTGAGTCTGTGAGGAAAGCTCGAGGTACGCTCTGAGCTATTCATCACTGTCCCAATAGGAATCTTCACTGCGTATCTGGAACACATTTGCTTTTAGTATTGTCATTCAAATGTTTCTTTTATTTTATCCGATTCTTGGGTTTTTTTTTCGTGCCAGTTTGAGAATAATACTGAGAGAGGGCGAATTATTCACGTGCCACTGGGTTTTATTTTAAACTCTTCGTCGAGCGTTCATGAGGATTCTTGAGCTTTCGTGGTGCTGGAGAAAATTTATTGAGGCGGTTATTGAAGGAGTGGTATAAAATTAAGAAAATTATGGGAGTAAATATTCTTTTGGGGTGGGCAAGTTATTTTGATTTTAGAAGGAAAAGCCTAAAGGCTTTTGTCAAAATATGAATATTGAAAATATTGTTGGCTGTCACTTCCAAGATGAATATGCATTTTCACGTTTCAAACGTGAAGAGAAATGGCAAG